ACGACAAAGTCGCCAACAAGCGAGTGTGTAGAGTGCACGAAAGTGGGCCAGCTTTTTCGGGGGTGACTAACCATCCACTTCCGCTTAGGAATTCCGATCGAATCTAGAGTGATTCACGGCAAAAAATTCTCCGTGGCCATCACAGTAAACCATTATTGCATTGTGCGATCGTCGTAGAAAAGAATATCCCATAGAATGCATGCATGTAAATATTGACGGTCGACACTGGTACCCGGCTATGCCGTCGTGTACGTTAACTGTTTACACGCCCCAAAAGGGAACCGCTGCTTCTGGATTGAGGGCGGGCTTTACTAAGTTCGGATCACCATTGCTTGCCAAAGAATCGTTTAGGGGTGCAGACCAGTAAATCGGTCCAAAATTGCCTACATGGATTTTTAGAGAAAAAAAATCCTCATTTTTAACCGATTTCACCCCAAATTTTCGTCCAAATTTCTCTTTGAAAAGCACATCTGTCCAGAAATCGAATTGAAATGTGTTCTAGGGTCCTATGGGCATCTTTCAAGCAAATTTGAAGAAATTTGATTTTTTTTGGGCCAAAATTGGAAAAAATGCAAGGGTTAAAAGACAAAATTATAGCTGCGGCTGTTTAAAGGGTTGAGGCAGTAAAATGGGTCCGAAGTAGCATGCGCCGGCCAAATCACGATTTGCATGCCCTTAAAACTCTTCAGTATTTCAGCATGCTGTGGGCCATGAACTTGAGGGTTTGTAAAAAAATATGGGTGGAAGCCGTGCACAGGACTGGGAACAAACATATCCAGCTAGTTTGCAGGCCTTCACACAGTTTGAAAAGTTGGTTTTAAATTGCGCGCTCCAGTTTTGAAATTGCGCACACTATTCAAAACGAATAAGGATCCGAGCATCACTCTCTTAAAGGGAATATACAACATTTGCAAACATCGAAAAATAAAACTATCAGGTTTTTACGAAATACCCTACTTGGATGTTGGTAAATGACAGTCAAAAGCATCCTGTAAAATTATGGCTCCTGGTGTGAAGTCATTTTCAAGAAATTGGCATTTTTGTATACATTTCCAACAGTGGTCGGCCGATCACCGTTGGAAAAACCTAACTATTTTTCAACTTCTGCTTCAAATTTACCATTTTATTCAGTCCAAATTTTGTTTGCTATTTGGTAACATGTTCATGAACGGGTGCAGGCCAGCTACACTGATTCCCTTACCTTACAATTTTCCGGCATCTATAAATTGATCCATTTTATCCTTAGTGGAGTTAGGGAACCAGACTACTTGAACATTTTCGTTTTTCTTGGTTTTTCCAGCATTTTCGAACACAAAACTTCAAACATGTCAGTGTAACAATATTTGACCTATTATACTAACCCCTCAAGTAGTTCATTTCTGAAAATTACAGCAAAAGCCAATGATGTACATTCCCTTTAATTCGAAAATCCAAATTAATTAATTGTCTATGAACCAAAAAAATCAGCTCATGTCGATGTCAAGTATTAAAAAGTATTAATATTCATAGATTCACGACGTATACCTTTGATTCCTTTTTAAATACTACCGGAGACCTGCCGGGCAGATGTAAATATCCAACTAAAGCAAAGTTAAAAAAAAAAAAAAAAAAAAAAAAAAAAAGATTTAAAAAAAATCAAAAAGTTATGTGCTAGCCAAGCTTTCAGGGATCGGTCTGAGCCATAACAATGCCCCAGCCAACCCCTTAGTTCTCTTCCAGTGTCTCGGCGTCCCCGACCAATACACACTTCCTTCCCTGTCCATCCATGTAACCCCGGAGGGTCAGGCGCCATGTAAAAGCAAAGAGCTAAGGGAGGAACAGGGCGGCACCCTAAGCCCTGATCCTCCGAGTGGACCACATGCCCTTAACCTGTACGAAGACGCCAACCTGGAGCTCACGGACAGTACCAGCCGCAGAGCTTACCGATTAAGCTAAGGTACTTGGTATTTGACGACGGGAAATTAAACATCTTGTGCTTAAATGTCTTAGAGTTACGCAACAGTGAACACTATTATTATGCAGGCTTTTTTGTGCTATCGGGTGCGTTCAGGGGCGGATCCAGGATTTTTTGCGGGGGATGTCCGGGCACCTTAGATATTTAAATCCGATTATTGAGGACAGGCGGACCGTGTCATTATTATATTTGATTAAAAATTATTTATTTTTCGTGTGTGTCTGACCGGTGGGGGGGGGGGGGGGGGGTGTTTCGTCTCCCTCTGGATCCGCGCCTGACTTCTACTATTTGTATTTGGACAGCTACCGATTTTCAACTCCGTCACTACTATTTCAACATTATCACGTCTTTAGAAAATGAAACGATAATTTGTTTTTACGGATTTGTTTCCTCAAAAATAATGTGAACAGTACGTTCTCATCCTTAATTCTATAAACAACCAAAAACAAACATTTAAACGTAGATGAAAACAACATTAACCAGGACACCACATTACACTGGGGGGCCCTGTTCATGATGTCCATATTTTATGTTTCGTAAAATAACGCTTCGCTCGTAACCCCGCCCTGCAAGCAGGGGCTAGGGCGCTGGGCCGGGAATTAAGAGCTGATGCTATTCACAGAATCTTGTGAAGGAAGTGGGGATGGCATTCTGGGTAATATATCATGACCTACATAGCCTTACTTTTTTGATGAACTAATTGGCCAAAAAATGACTTTTCTCAAAACGAGGCAGAAATTTCTTTAGAGGTAAGAGGAGCATTAATCAACCTTCAAACACCCAATATTTTGCAGATTTGGGCAAAAATCATGGATTTTTAGAGAAAAATTTCCTCATTTTTAACCGATTTCATCCCAAATTTTCGTCCAAATTTCATTTTAAAAAGCACATCTGTCCATAAATCGAATTGAAATGTGTTTTAGGGCCCTATGGGCATCTTTCAAGCAAGTTTGAAGAAATTTGAAAAAATGCAAGGGTTAAAAGACAAAATTATGGCTGCGGCTGTTTACAGGGTTGAGGCAGTAAAATGGGTCCGAAGTAGCATGCGCCGGCCAAATCACGATTTGCATGCCCTCGAATTCTTCAGTACTTGAGCATATTGTGGGCCATGCACTTGAGGGTTCGTAAACAGTGAGGATGGAAGCCGTGCACAGGAACGTGAGCTTGTATTTCTGTGCGGTAACAGGTCATCTCGTACCTTGGGCAACTCGTACCTTGGACAACTCGTACCTTCAACTCGACGTCATTATACCGAGTCGTACCTTGGACAACTCGTACCTTCGGCAAGTCGTACCTTCAGTTAAGACGACTCGTACCATCACGCGTAAGACAAGTCGTACCGTCAATCAGGATTATGATCCGAGGCTGAAATAAGTGGACCGTAACTCATTGGAAGTGGACTGCTTATTAAAATAAAGGTGAATCTCTTTTTGGTATGGGGTCTCTTTCCCCGGGCCCCCAAAAAGAGGAATTTATTTAGCGCGAAGCCGGCCGCGGCAGCTTACACGCACTGTGTGCGCGGCATGCACAGGCCCACGCGGCATCCGTGCAAAGTGACACGGTTATTGCGCCGCGCTGACCGGTCAATATGGACGTCTGTGCACGGTGACATTGATGCAGTCTGCCGTTACGTTTAGAGACTTAGGCTACGTGAAAATATTATGGAACTGATGTTTTTATCCAAGATTCACGTCTTACCATCATTTCTACAATGAATTACCATCATTGAGATGATATATATATGAAGAAAAAAGTGGCCAAACCCCCGCCCCCAATTTGTAAATGTTTCGAATAAACCAGTTGATGAATAAACCAACTGTGAATTTTTTTTTTTACATTTTAGACTTACAGACTTATAGCTAGGAAAGGACTGAATCATTTAAAAGTACTGACTGCTCTTGTATACTTTGGTTATTAGACTTCACAAGAAAACGCAGAAATTACTTTATTTAGACACATTAAATGTTTAAATTTGATTTTTATAAATTTTGTCGGTTGGTTTTAATAGAGTTTAATAAAGCTCGCTCTGGAAACAGGATGTTACGGTGGTTAGGCTGTATTGCATAATTAAACCACACCAAATCCGCATCTGAAGTTTCTCCACTATAAAATTCAATAGATGAGTGACACTTCTATAGATGAGCGACGCTTCAATAGATGAGCGACACTTTGGGTGTACTTGTTAAACCGCCGGCCGCTTCCGAGTCACCGGCATCGGTACCGCGCACGACCGACCGCTGCTCGCGCCCTCGGAGGCCGGCCCGCCAGGCCCAATGCGTAAACTAATGCTGCCTGGCAAAGCCATTAGATCTTGAATGTGGTTCTGTGAGAAGGAAATTAACTTTGACTTGAAAAGAATCGTATCGTTTGGGAGTCAAGGAACCACACACTAAGTCGCGCACGTACAGTGTACATGTACTCTACTTTTTATTCTGATGGTACGAGTCGTCTTAATTGAAGGTACGAGTTGTCCAAGGTACGAGTTATCCAAGGTACGAGATGTCCAAGGTACGAGTTGTCCAAGGTACGAGTTGTCCAAGGTACGAGTCGCCCAAGGTACGAGTTGACTCGAAAGCTTCTGTGCAACTCGCATGAAATTGGGGCGTCTTATAAAGCGCTCTATTTTGCATTGGAGTGTAGGCGCCGTTTTTCAAAATGGCGATGGGTGATCATATTCGGATGGAAATTTCTCCCAACTTACAATCAGATTACCACCCAAAAATTGAGGAAAAATAGAAAGACGATTAAACTAAGCTTTAATTTTAATGGCTGAGAGATGGTCAAAATAACCCGGCCCTTTTAGGGTTAACAAACATTATTTTGAGACACTTTTTTTTAAAATTCTTTCTTTTCCATCTCTTTCATTTCTTGAAACCTTATTTCCATCGTCGGGAAAAAAATACAATTGAACTGCTTGAGCTTGCATATGTCATTGAGGAACTTTACCCACTGAATTACCTTACATCTCTTTTCACAGCTTTCGAGACAGAAAAGTTGACAATTACACACCAAACACATTGGTGGCGCTGTTCACGGTCTCCAATGACATCAAAAAAAATCACAACCCTCTGTTTCCTACCTATACCTCCATGCTCTACCGTACCGGTGGTAGTTGAGTCTCTTTAACGTTAGTTGAGGAAACCTTGTCTCGGGAATTTAGGAAAGTGTTTGTCCTACTCCCATTACCTTGAGAGTATTTGGAATAAGTAGAACAATCATCAGCAACAACAACACTTTGAAGTCATCGTGACAAGCTGTGAGTGTGAGTAGATTACAGCATTTGTTTTGCTCTGTTTGTACACTACACGGCCGGACGCCGCCTAGTTTTTTTAGTTTGCCTGTGCATACTTGATGATTATCGTGCGCGTGCTTGACTTCACGGCATCCATTGAAAGGTCAATCGAACATGTCGGCGGGCACTTCTGTATTTCCATTAAGATCACATTTTTGGATTTTGGAAAGAACGTCACTCTGTTGACCGTGTCCATGTAGGCCAGGGTGTCGTGACCAAAAGTATTTTCCAACAAAATCTGAAATGTTTAAACTAATATTATAAGCGTGATCCATGGCCTATTTTAAGTTCTTATTTTTTTTTTTTTTTTTTGGGGGGGGGGGGGGAATTCATGACTGAATGTTCATCATTTTGGGGGATATTGATATGGTGAAAAAAGTGGTTTGTAAATTGTAGGGTTCTGCGTTCTTTCCACGTAATAACTCATCACAATGTTGCATTGGAAGGTTTTTAAAACCAAAACAATTGCATGAAGGGGAGGATTTTTTGGGGAGGGAGGTAGGTGGTTGGGTGGATTGCAATTTCGTACAATTTAACATAAAACTTTAAGACCAAAGTGTTGGGCTATTACAATTACAATATGTGCTGTTCAACAAGTTCATTTTTTCTCCTAACAAATGTCCTATTACTATTGGGCCCTATTTGTTTTAGGCCTTATAAAAAAAAAATTAGTTTCTCACCTGGGCTTTTGTTTTAATGAAGGAGGCGGGTAATTTTTAATTTTTTGTTTCCAATATGGCAGATTTTCCTAGATGGCGGATGTACCGGTATTCTTCCGTTTTCTCAACTTTTTTGCTGATAAATATACAATTTGTGCCCAATGGAGTCATAGACCTAAACCTTTTTACATCTAACACTATAATACTGACACTATATTTACAAAGTATATTGCAAACATGTAAGAAATGAAAAAAAAAAACAGGAGCCGGAAAGATTTCCATATACGAAGTTCACTCAACACCCTGTGTACAAACCCTATGAGATTGGACTGAAAAATTCTAAGTGTTTTCTAAGAAAATGCTTGTATTTTCTCACTGCTCAAATTGACTTTGATGACATGAAATTGCTATCTGGGGGCTTGTTAGTCAATACAGAGGAAAATTAGTGAACTTCTTATATGGAAATCTTTCCCAGGAGCCGGGGGGGGGGGGGGGGGGGGGCGGGGATGAGAAACTTGGCCTTATATTGCTACCTCGCCTGTTAGCTATAAAATCTATGCTGCATTTGTGCCACGTTTTAAACCAAAAAGTTCAATTATTTTACGTAGGCCTAAAGCCAAAAACAGTTCATATGCTTTTGTCAGGAAACAATTTTACTTAGGCCAAGAAAAAAAACCCCAAAACACCAAGTTTCTCGTCTGGACTCGAGGGAAGAGGAGGCCGTGTTGTTATTGTTTGTTTTTTTTTCAAGATGTTATGATTCAAATGAGCCATAACGCCTTAAAACAGATCCTAAACTTGCATACATGTAATGTACGCAAAGCTACAATTTTGCTGGAGGGACTTGTATACAAAAAAAAATGTATATTGCCAATGATTGAATTAAAATTAAAATAAAAAAGGAGACAGCCGGGAAAAAAGGCAGTGGGTAAGTTGAGAAACGGGTTTATTTTTGTACTTGGCCTTTAACTGAAACTGCAAGATTTTTTTTTCATTCTATGTCTCATTCAAAGGTGAATAAACTTTTGTGTTAGCTAGAAAAATAGCAATCCACATTTTTGCAAAATATTTTTTGGGGGAGAAAGCATGGGGAGAATTACTTCTAGACTCGTGCGACCTTAAATTCGCTGGTCGGTCATGTTGATTTGAAAGCGATTAAAAATCTTAATTTTTGGAACTTGCGAATAGAAATAAAAGCAGTGACGTAAAGTTAATTACAAATTAATATCAGTCTGCTCTGATGAATAATTTAAAATGATTCATTAATTATGCAAGGCCCTAATGCATTTTTACAAAAATGGTAAGTGAAGCTTGGAACGCATAGTCTGGCACAATCAATTTGCGCATCATGTTTGTATACATGTTTTTGTCATAACGACTATATTGCCCCGCATGGGGTGTTGATCTGATACACCGTGCCCTCTGGAGACGTGCGCACAATAGGGAACAAAAGATTGTATACGTCTGAGTGCTCTCCACAGGGCAATATCTATAGATGAATAGGTCTCCACAAGGTTTTCACGAAATAGATGGATTTTACTCAAAAACTAGGAATTTCCAAGGTGGGTTGATCTGTCGCAAATATTTTAGAAAAGGGATATTAAGTCCAAATTTCAGCCAAGGAAATTAATTCTGGTTAAAATAAGAGCATTTTGAAACTTCACTTTCACACTCGAAAACTTTACTACATGAGAACAAAGAAATGTCTCCACAGTGATACAAATTTCAGTATGCGTGTAAGAATATATGTTGCGGAATTTTTGAAATTAGCGCAATTTAACATGTTTAAGTCGCAAGACTGTGTCGCCTTATATGTAAACGCGCTCATTTATTTGTGCGTATAAATACGCGCGACAGTATTGTGCGACAAAATCGCGTAGGTGTTTCAGGGAACACGATAAAAAACGTCTTCCCTGTGAACAAGGCCTATTGATAAAATTTGCTCTTTGCTTTGAAGTTTTATTCTTTACTCTATGATTGATGTTAATTGAATGCATAGCACTTTGGCTTATTGCATCTAAAGTTGAAAACAAATGAGAGTACACTTCTTGGCTGTACGCGGTAATTCAAGGGGACATATGCAGCATAGCACGATGGAGTTATAAATGGATTTTTGCAGGATGGAGTTAATCTGTAATATTAATAATGGAACATGCTGATGGTCGTAATGTATATTTTACACAATTCCTTTCCTTCGTTACCATTCATTACAAGTGTTTACTCGGGTGTACAAGTGACGCACAATGTAATTGATTGTTCATGCATCGTTACCCAACCATAAAATCCCTGAAAAAAAAATGTTGTTTAAGCCAAAAAAAAGAAGAAGCTTTGTTTCCAGTAAGCCAAGTTTACCCGACTGACCCTAAAATTGTGGGTGTACGTAAGATCGGCAGTTGAATTTTTTGTTTCAATTTTGTAATTAATATAAAAAAAAAAATTCTTATGTTTTTTTGGAAGTAAAAAAATACCCAAAATACAAGCCTGATATATATTTTTTTAAAGTATGCAAGTACCGTTATAGCATGAATTTAGGTTTTATGAAATACGGACTCATTGGTGGTATTGCGCATGCTCATGCATAGATAATTAGGAGAGGGACCGGTCACGTGAGAAGGTTTAACCAATAAAAGAGTCCGATTTTCATATGAGTCCGATTTTCATACGACACCGGTATACATCTACTTGTCCAATTGACCCTCAAATTGGCATTGTGTTAAGTAGTTGCCAGACCTACTGGTATACGGAAAAAAGGCAGTTGGCACACAGAGATTTTTGTATGCACGGCCTTACAGCAAATACATCAACTTGGTTAAAATGTACCCCGAGTATAATTAATTTCCCGTATCTGGACCCAAGCCATTAGCAAAATTGGGCCATTAATCTGGAGAAGTCACAAAGACCATAATTTGCGTGGATAGTTACGGTAAAAGGCCATGCCACACAAGGCTTGGAAGTAATCATGGAATTTCAGAGAGAATGGGCTATTAAGTTGATCATGAATATTTCATAAACTTTTATTCATGGTAGAATTGTTCTGTACGTCTGTGTCCATGGTTTTTCATTTGGAGACTTTATTGCTCTTGTTTGCAAAATGAGGTTTTTTTTAACGTATAGATCTGCCTGTTAGTGTTAAGAATAATGTCGGCACATCAGTTTCAGACTTAAATTATCGTGCTGGACTTTTGGCCTTGCATGAACATTGTACATTTTGCCAGGCTATCCTCAATTAAAACTAAAATGTCAACGATTTGGTTCCCATGGCAATATTTCGTGAATCCTTGAGAGAGAATTGTGCTCAGACTTAAATTATCACTGGACTTTTGGCCTTGCATACATTTGCCAAGCTATCCTCAATTAAAACTAAACTCCCTCTTTTGAGCAAGGAACAATGTTTACGGTTACGCAAAACGGTCAACGGTTTGGTTACCATGGCAATATTCGGGGAATCCTTGAGAGAGAACTGCGCTCACCTGTTTACCGTACCCTTGCTCAGCGTGATTGCTGAAGTTGGACAGTTCGCAATCAAAGTGAGTCGGTGTGTGTTAATAATACGGTCTCTTCCAGTACATTAGACAATATCATATTGCTTCTGTTGAAGCATGTACCGGCAACGCATGTACACGGAACAAGTGGGGGGGGGGGGGGGGGGGGGGACCTGCACAAGCATGATGGTATTGGTGGTGGGGGGGGGGGTGGAAGGGGGAGACCTTCACATCCATATTTCATAAAACCTAAATTTATGCTACACCGGTAAGTACTACAAAAGTTAGCAAATAACATACACTTTTAGTGTACACAAAACAAACTTAGTAATGCACCAAATGTCTGTTCACTGTTTTTTGATGTACGGTACTCCCACAACTTGTCTGTTCACTGTTTTTGGATGTAGGCCTACTCCCACAACTCTTATTGGAGCAGGGCAATTGTACATTTTGAATTGTACATTTTAAATAAAATATTTCTTGAATAAAACACTGTAGGCCCTAATTAATGTATCCCTAACAGTCCTGAATCCTCCAATTTTAAAGGGAATGTACAATTGTACATCATTGGCTTTTGCTGTAATTTTCAGAAATGAACTACCGGGTATTTGAGAGATTAGTATAATAGATCAAATATTGTTACACTGACATGTTTGAAGTTTTGTGTTCGAAAAGGTTGGAAAAACCAAGAAAAACAAAAATGTTCAAGTAGTCTGGTTCCCTGACTCCACAAAAGATAAAATGGATCAATTTATAGATGATGGAAATTGTAAGGCAAGGGAACCAGTCTAGCTGGCCTGCACCCGTTCATGAACATGTAACCAATAGCAAACAAAATTTGGACTGAAAAAATGGTAAATTTGGAGCAGAAGTTGAAAAATATAGTTACATGTAGGTTTTTCCAACACTGGTCGGCCGACCACCGTTGGAAATGTTTACAAAAATACCATTTTCTTGAAAATGACTTCACACCAGGTGCCATAATTTTACAAGATGCTTGAGACTGTCATTTACCAACATCCTTGTAAGGTATTTCGTAAAAACTTGGTAGTTTTATTTTTCGACGTTTGCAAATGTTGTATATTCCCTTTAATACAATTTTGCACACCCCCTAGGGAGTTGGGGTTGTAAAATACAATTTTTTTTACAATTTTCTTTTTTTGGCCACCCCATGCTCCTCTTTGAGGAAATTAGGTCGTACCATGGTTGCACTTATTTAAATTTATACTTGAGGTTGATTCCATTAGTGAAGTGCTGATGTACGAGTACATTTGCACTCTAGTACAAGTCCGAGCCCCAGCCAAACCACTTCCCTTACTTGCAAATTTGTCATCCGACGATCCCAACAAAGTAACATTGCCACTTAAATTTATTGCAATGTGACCAACAATACAAAAATGGAAAGCTTTTCTCTATAATTTATTGGCCCGCAACCTTTTGTAGACCGTGCGCGCCAATAAATTTAACATTTGTGATGATCAATGCACAATACTGAGGCCTAAACATATCAGGCCGCCACTATGTTATTCCTGTTCCAGCTGTGCAATTATCGAAATGTCATTGGGCCTGTCTTTGTTATCACAGGGATATTTATAAAGACAGTCGAGGGAGAGAGTGCTCTTTTTGAAGCCAAAAGGAACCCAATTTAAGCAACTGCCATCCTTTGAAGAGTTTGCAAGTGGATAGTCAAACTGCTAACTGCGATACTGCACGTCACCTGCCAGAAAGAAAAATCCCCTTGGATGATATGTTGAAAGGCTTTTATATTGAACGTCAGCCACCAGAAATATTTTAAGGTAAGTTACATGTAGCTGTTCATTCCCATTGAATTATTAACTACAGGTAGAACGAAGGGTCGAAATTCTGCACACTTGCCTGCGAAAAACGAATGCTCTTTGGACAATGTGCAGTATGGCTTAAATTTATTGTGTTGCCATATGTGTGCGGAATGTTATACAACATTTAGCTTTTACTGTAATTTTTAGAAATGGATGGATTTGGGGCTTATTATTCCATAGCAAATTTTGTTTCATTGATCTGTTTATAGTTTTGTGTTTATCAATGCTGGAAAACCCAGAAAAAAATGCTGCTGTTGTTGTCTTATTCCCTGACCCTACTTTGGACGAAACGGAGCAATTTATAGACGTCGGGGGAATTGTCAGGTCAGGGAACCAGACTAGCTGGCTTGCACCCGTTTACGGACGTACGTAACCGATTGCAAACAAAATGTAAAATACACTTTACTAAATTTGGGAAATTGGGGACAGAATTTGAAGGGAAAAAAATCCTTGTTTTCCAACGATTGTCAGCCAACCATCTTTGGAAATTGATACAAAAATTCAAATTTTCTTGAAAATGACAGCAAACAACGTGCCATGATTTCACAGGATGCTTGAGACTATTATTCACTTACAGTCAAGTAAGGTATTTCATAATAATTTGGTAGTTTTATTTTTTGATGTTTGCAACTGTTGTATACATGTACCTTTAAGTTCCAAGGATGACAAGTTATAGCTGTTCATTCCCCGTGAATTATTAACTAATATGAAGGGCCCCCACAGTTGCCTGCTAAGAAATGCCGTTTGCTTGGATGATATGCGGAAAGGATGATGTATTCCGTGTGCCTAAAGGCTGAAATTAGCCACCAGAAACAAATATAGGCTGGGAAGTTAGACGTTCGTGTCTGTTGAATGATTAACTACTACGAAGGGCCCTCGTGCTGATCAATTCACACGGGTGGCACGCGTGGCGCTTTTGATATGTACACAAGTATACAAAGCCAGCAGTCGATAGTCACACTGAGCAAGGTCTAACTCGGTTGTAGCAAGACTTAACGAGCCTTTGGAAAATCGTAATGTGCAGCAACGCAGCATTTATTGCAAAAAGTCTTTTACATTCATTGTACATGAACATCAGGGAGTTTTTTGAGGGGGCACTTTTTTTATGAAGGTATTGAAACGACACATCAGTGACAACATGAGAAAACATTAAATGGCAACAGACACTGATAATGTTCAAAGATAGCTTTTATCAGCGGCATACATAACATACATTATGTCAAGGTCTACAAAGAGCTATTGTTTGGTATAGAGATTTGCTGTTAAAGTTAAATAAAGAATGAGTACCTTACATGTACATTTAAGTCAATAAAGTTAGATCAACAACGCTGAACGCAAGTTTCATAAGAAATTATATTTTACCTTCTTGAAGGCATTGTGTCCCCCTAAGAAAGGTTTTCAAAGGCAAAATAAATTAGTTGGAAAAAAAACCTTCCAAGATGATGATGGCCGATTTAGGCAAATACAGTGAGTGACCCCACCCCCTTGATTTGCATTGCAAATTGCATTGCAGTTTTAACTTTGTGCTGCACAGAATTTCACAGATTACTATAAAAATGTACTTTTGCTATGCAAAGTAGGCTATGCAGAGCTGTTAATTTTTACCTAAAGCTCTCATTCAAAATAAAAACTGTTAAACAAACATTTGTAATTTGTAACCTGATTTGGGAGCATTACAACAACATTTTTTTCGTAGCTATCAAGAATAAATCTGATAAAACAGAAAGCCTGTGACCCAATTGATAAACCACCAAAGTATGTTGTCATCCTCAGAAGTTAAATAATAAAACTGAAGAAACGATCGTAACCCGGGTTGAAGTGAAGATGATCGCCACGTCTACTTGCCTATCAACTGTGTCAGTGAAACAGATTGTAGATTTGTTGGGTTTTATCAGCGATTGTTTACTGATCATAATACCTTGTATTGACTGCTTTTGTCAACAGCTTGACCGATGGAACAGTGCTTGTCCATCACTAGGTGAATGGGACCGGTCCATCACTACAGAGTTTTGTGCAGCTCGCTGTCATTAGCTGTTGGGAACTACAGGGCTCTGGAAGCTCCGAGATGGGTGACCGTCGGTATTTTGTCGGCCGTAGTCCAGATGATCAGTTGAGGGAGAAAGCCCGGGCCTTACAGCTTCTGAGGGAGACTAATCCGGAGTTCAGCCCCAGAAAACAGGTCTGTATAGACTTGCTATGTATACGTGAACTGCATGAGGTCAAAACACATGTTCAGAGTCGAGTTGTGCCCAGCCAAAGTATACCAAAGATTTGGATTAGGAACATAATAATAATATGTTACCCTGGATTGGACATTTGGGAGACATCCCCGTAGACTTGTGCACACAATTTTTCAAACTTCAATGTGCCCTAACCCAATATTCCCTTGTCCTTTTTCCACGAATTTCGGTATGTTTACTAATTACACCACTCGTAATTGCGACCATAAAATTGTGCCTCTAAAGGGGGGCTGTAACATTAGGGAGACATGAAAATGTCTCCCTAATGACCGATGTCTCCCATCGTGCAAAGAAATTACGATACCGCGTCTCCTTAATGGTACCATTACACGTATAATAAATTTGGGAAGCTAATCAGCCTAACTGGCAGCTGAGAAGCAGAATTGCGAATGCGAAGGATGTGGCTACAACGTGGTCGAGCCGTACTTAATACCAGTACTTCATGCGCAGGTTGTCAAAGAATCAACTGTTAAGACTCAATTTAGGACAATTTTCGTTAGAACAAGTTCATTTCTAATTTGGCGAAGCTGTGAGTGGGTGCACGCAAGCATTGAAACAAGCACACGTACGCGCGTGTGGCTTCGAATTTGAAACAAGCACACGCGCGTGTGGCTGCTATAATTTGTTGGATCACTGTGTGTGACATCGCGTAGCTGCAATCGGCTGAATTTAGAACGTGTCCCGTAAGCTGGTTTCGGGCGCAATTCAAAACGTGACTTTGCAACTTTTGAATTAAAATCAAGATCTTGGAAAATTGTTTTCTCAGAATATACAGCATTCACTGAGCTAACACTTGTTAAGCACCCGCCTTTAGATTTTGAGCACCTTGTTGCTTCAAACGAAAAAAATGCACAAATGACAAATGATACCTTTAAATGAACCATGTAGGACAAAAGGCATTCCCTTTTCATTTTTCGTCCCCCCCCCCTCGCTACTTATGATCTGACAGCTCATATTTACAAATTTGGAAGCTGCAGCCCCCCCCCCCCCACCACCACCACAAGTGTCTCTTCCATAATGTAGGTCATCAAACCTCAGTTTGCAGAATTCTGAATAGCACACACACTTGGTGTGTTTCTCCATGGACGCCGGTTGCCACTTCATCACACAGATCAATAAACAAGGGCAGTCGCTGATTGCTTGTTGGCCTAAATCACCCAGCACATCGATCTTAGGCAGGTTGCAGCCACCACAGCCGACAATATGTACAGCCGAGCTCTCAATCGATATCCCATTGTTGATGAGATCCCTCCACGGAAATCAGACAGTACGGCCTGATATTAAGACGACCCCTGTGCAGCAAATGCTTTTTGTATAGAGTCAACAACTGCGCTGCTATTTATAGTTTGATTTAGGGCATCAAAATAAACACAAATTTGTTAAACAGAGCTCTGTTTATTTTGAGTTGTTTAAAGCGATTTTTTGAAGACGTGGGGAATTTTTTTCAAGGTTTAAGCTCCTAGAATGCATTTTATGTAAGCTGAAACAGCTGTGTACAGAATGCGCAGTGTGCTGTGGAGGTGTTTCGAAAAATGATGCCTTGGTGGGTGGAGACTAGGGTATAATACGGAACAAAAGATTGTAAAGGCCTCCACATGGCAATCTCTAAAGGTGGATAGGTCTCCACAAGGATTTCACGAAATATTTGGATTTAACTCCAAAACTAGGAATTTCGAAGGTGCATGTACATTAGAACATGTACAATGTATACTCATCCATTGCAAATTAAAGTATTTTATGTAAAGGATATTTTGTCGGAATTCCAACTTTTTAGGTTATTGTTTTTATTTACATCCATGACCAAAACAAATTCTTCAGAGTGATAACAGAAATGTCTTCTTTTTTGGGGGCAGATGTACATGTACATAACGGTACATATGTAATTTGTAAATGGTTTAATTTATAACAAACTTTCATGCTCAATTATAAATGGTTGATTAAGATTTAAACAGAAAGATTTCGTTCCAAAGTTTAGAAGACTGCAGGTTTAAATCTTTGAAAGCAAGCCTTAATTTGGATGACCCTTTTGATCTGAAGTTGATTAAAACCTTCGGCTGTTTCTATTTTTACATGATCTATCTAGGGTTACAGCAGTCCTGCGTCCATCAAGCATAATGACATCCTCACCAAACCTTACTCCCCTGCAAGCCAGGGTCCTCCCCAGAGGCTGACGTGGTCTCAGGAGAGACACCGACTGGCCAGGGAGAAACAGAAACTACAGGAAGAGCAAGAGAGAGTCATGCAGGCCAAGAAAAGATGGAGCATACCGTCACATTATAACGTGTTAGGTAAAGAATAGTCAGGGTCCAAGACTGACTGGATTTGGATTTTTGCTTCCTAATGCATTTTGCTTCCTAAAACGAGTTCCTAAAACGAGTTCCGTTTTTCCAGTGCGAACTCAGAAATTTGAGAAAACACAAAAAAATTTGGACCAAGACTACGGTAGGTTAGGAAAGGAATGGGGAGAAATATGAACAGACAGAAAGACAGCTGGCCTTACTGACAAACTGACAGACAGAATGGTCAAGATTAAACAAAAAAATTAATATACATGTACCATACATATTTGTTTTACAGGCACAGTTGCATTGTACATGTAGTGTGATGTTGTTGTGTAGTGTGATACAAGAAAAATGTTAACTAGATGTGGACAAAAACAACAGAAAACAATTTTTTTTCAACAATTTTTTTTTTATTGATACTGAAGTGTAATTTTGAAACCAGCAGACTTCCTGTCATTTGTTGTTCCTCCAGATCCTATTGAGAAGCGACCCCATAGTAACGAGGAACGTTGGAAGTCGGACATTGCCGACCTCATCCTGAAAACACAGGAGCAGTTACCACAGATGATAGTCAACCTGCAGAAGATGAAGTAAGGATACAAGAAAACTTGAATGATAGGCCGTCCCGCTTTTGTAGTTTGTAAGATTTCATGTCACTAAAAGTTCCACTAATTTCTGTTTTGCCATTTTCGAGTGTATTTTGGTGCCTTTTTTGGTTCTATGCCAATCTGAATGTCCATATTCATAAGCACAAGTTTCATGTCCTTATTTTTTAACAGCTATTTCAGCACCAAAAGTAGCCAGAATATTGGATATTTTGCTGTATCGTGAATCATATTTTCCACTGTGATTTGTTGTGTCAGAACGTACATGGCAGTACGCCAACGAGCAAACTTTTCTCACAAATGTTTTCAATGAGCTGATTTTTGGGTTCACATTTTCAACAGAATACCCCCAAACTGAAAAGTGTCTCCCTGAAATGACATCACAGCAACAGCACCCTCAGCCGGAAAAGCACGGAAGATTTAAAATGTTCAAAGAAGTGCGCTCTTCAATAAAATTAACCAAAAAGGGATGTCAAAATAGTTTGTTCATACATTTAAGAGGAGTTTAAAGTTGCACAAAATGTGTTTCGTGCAAAAAGTCGTCTCATGGACCTTTAACTCGTATGCTATTTTGTTATCTTACTTGAAGGGAGGAGCTTGACAAGGACAAGAAGGCGGTGGAAAATCGCGACTTTCTCCTAGCAGCACCCAAATCTTACAAACCCTGGCAAATGGCTGATTACTACCTGGTAAGATGGAGTGTTTGTAATTACATGCACATGAGAGTCAGTGGTTGTCATGAACGTTTGCTGTTGTGGTCAATACTGTTGCTATTTTAACAGGGTTTCTTCCTAGTTTTCCCAGTTTTTTACCTTCCTCCTATTTTTCCTATTTTTTTCTTCAAATTCCCAATTTTTCCTACTTGTTTTGTCTCACAACTCTGAAAAAAATGATAGCGCATTGAATACTTTTCATATAAATGTAAATCACGCAATGAAGAGCTTGGGTGCAGGAGTACTGCAACTGTACTTCCAAGAGCTTAGTTGAGGATGGAGCACAAGTGTTGTGAGTACACAACATGCCAAATGAGGCTTATGATGATGTGGTCATGGGTGAGCATCAATGAAAACTACTCCTGAAAGCCTGCAAAAGTCCTACTTTTGATTTTGTCCTCCAAAGTCCTACTTTTGTCTTCTTCTTTTTTTGGATTCTACTATTCTCCTACTTTTTCACCTGGGTCTGCATTTTTTTGTACCACTTCAACAGGTGAGGGATGTGCTGTTAGATCTTGTCGATGATGCGGTGGAGATAAGCGAGAGCAAACCCAAGCCCCAGCCCTTCCAAGACAAACTCCAAGAGTATCCTCTGATGAGTAGAAAAAAAGAGTTTGTCTAGATTACTTGGCCGTGGCCAAAGCCGCTGGCTCCAGACAAGTAACAGTGATAATAATATTAATTATTATACAATTATTGCCTTTGTTCATCAGGCCATGAGACCATTTTTTTCTGCATCAGCTCGAGCCCAGTGCAGTCAGGTCTCTAACTTCACAGGTACCCATTTATGCTCCTGGGTGGAGAGAGGCAATTGTGGTAAAGTGTCTTGCCCAAGAACACAAGCACCATGTTCCCTCCCAGGGTTTGAATCCAGATACCATCACGTATGAGTGGAACACCATAACCATTTGACCGCGCAGCTCCAAGTACCGTAATCTGGGCGGATTTGTGATGATGTCACAGAACACTTTTTTTTTTTGCACTGTGAATTTGTAAGTGTTGAACTCGGGCAAAGTTTGTAGCCTAAACTGCACAATAGAGGCTGTCAGAAAAGGGCTCATCAATGGTGGATATAAGTTCAGTACATATCACCATGTACATGTATGTTCATGGACATATCACCACTGAATTATTAAACAGCAACAGGATTGGACACTTTTTGACCACTGTTTTTCACCAGCCCCGTGGACCGGGGACACTGCATGTGCGTACTGGTTCTCGCGCGTATAACGTTAAGTCCGCATGATTTATTTTGTTCTAAATGTACACAAAGGCATAGCGTCATCGTGTGAACGTCAGGCGTTATCGGCAAAGCATTCAATGTCCTTCCAGTGGTCTCCCCAACTCTTCCTTTCTTACCATTGAGGAGCCAACACGCAGATTTATTTATATCCTGCGGGCTTATCTAACACAATTTACATCTAGTGCTCATTTTCCGGTCGGAAACACTTCTGCCCCCGACCTTTAGAAAATCTAGGGTTAGCAGTTAGCACTAATCAATCCTAATCACCAGAAACGAAAACGGATCAATAAAACGGCTTTTCTTGCTCAGACCACTGCCTGCAATAGCCCACACAAATATAGAGTCGTAGAACGCCTGGCACATTATTGTGTTTATGGCCTGATAAAGAGTTAACTAATTTAATGTTTTTATGCATGTACAAATAGACACTGTGTATTCCATGTGTGTGTTTATTTGAGAACTAGGTCAATAAGACTACAGAAAAGGTGAACCATAAAGATGTTTTCGCAAACTATAGTTTCACATTCGTGAATCTACAGTTGTGGCCTATTATGAACATAATAGCAGAAATAATGCTTGAAAATTGTGCGGAGCAAAAGTCAGCTGGGAAATGATCACCAGCAATACGCATAGCATGACATTTTGACTAGTAACCTTTTAGCTCATTAAGCCTTTTCTTTGCAATTTTAACTGGAAAACTTTTAAAAAAAACCCAATAAGCCCTGCATGAAGTGCTTCCCATGTCACACGAGCGAGTTTGCATTTATTAGCTAGGCCCTGAAAATGTACCAAACCGCAAATGGAACCACAATGTCATCGAAAAATTGTTGTCTGGCAAAATGGTGGCACCCTACATCATGGGCGTCGCCAGGATTTTTTCTAGAGGGGGGCAAAAATTTTTTTTGCCAAAAATGCTTGCATTTCTCAACATATTCTCGATTTATCAGTTTTAGAGGGGGGCAGGGACATTTTGCCCCCCCCCCCCAACTCATTAAATTTACACCACTTTGTCTTCGCGCCTCTTTCTCTTTTCTTTTTTCTCTTTTTTTTCTTCTTCTTCTTTTTTTTTTTTTTTGGTTTTCCAGGGGGGGGGGGGGCAAGTGCCCCCCCTTGCCCCCTCCTCGCTACGCCCATGCCCTATATGTCAGTCGTATAAGTGTCACTGCTTTGAAATCCTCATAAATTGATTGCGACTGGAATTGAATTTTTCCAGTTTATGAACTTACTTGAGATGTTGAGAGCAGAAAGTTACAGCTCAGACAGAACTTAATTTATAGTTTGTGTCTGCCATTCTTTTGGAAAAAAAAATATTTTCGGCTTTGTTTTCACCCACTTGTTGGAACCTGGCAAACGTTGGCAAATGATATAGCATTGTTCACGTAAGTGGAACATACACGTTATTCTCTAGGTATGGGCTATCCTTGTGTTCTTCAATCGTTTTAATTTCTTTCATCCTTTCAAGGTGACTAATTAGTGTTGCATATAATTTGGCATTTGTTTTCCTGAGCCGATATTTTGTTACCCAGCCAAGTTGTCTCAGCAGCTATGCGAGAAGTGGATGCGGTTCGGCAGCAACAGTGTCAGGAGAGGGCGGTACAACTGCTCGCAGAGGAACTTATTTTGGAGGTACAGCCAAAACTTAGTGCATTTTTTTTTTCGAACCATTTTCTTCAAAATTCAAACATAAACATCTTTTTAAAAAAGTTTGTCGTAAATTTTTTTTTATTGGAATTTTACCCGTTAGGATAAAATTCAATAAGCCAGTTTTGTATTTGTCTAGGTCAAAGGTCATTTGGGGAAAACAAATCGCTGACATGATTTTACATATTGTTACACGATGTCTTGTGAATGCATGTTCTGCTTAACACGCAAGCGTCGTGCGCCCGTCTCCCAGCACGATCATGCGCCTTCGATGAGCGTTCGATCAGCCCGAGTGACCCGCGACCCATAACATTGTGCGCATACGCAGTTGAAACACCGAACTAGCTTATTATTGTGGCATTGAATTTAAATGAAACAAATTGAATAGAAGTACCTTTGAAAATTGAGAATGTATTAAAAAATGTTTTAAAAACAATTTATGTTTTTTGAAATTGTTCCTCCCCTTTCTGTTTTAGATGACCAATGTTGTAGCCAGACAAACAGCAGAGGAATACCTCAGCATAGAGCACTATGCATTAAGCCTGAAACAACAACTTGTTATGCAGTCAGCAGAGGTCGGTTGAAAATTAACTTTTGGGCGTTTTAATATTCATTTATTATTAGCTTATTTGTGGCACAGATTCAGTCTCATGGTTGGTATCAGCACATATGCGCTGTTTCCCTGTCATTTTCCTTTGCACTCCCAAAGCAGTGTATGTTACTGGCCCTGTTCTGAATAGTGGAGTGAAATAAATCAAAGTAAAATGCCTTGCTCAAGGACGCGCAGCAAGCATTGTTTTCCACACTGATTCCAACCCTCATTCACGAAGCCACAACTAGAAGTTCTGCATACACGGTGGGAAAGTGATTAGCTCACCCGGATTGACTCTGGTTAGCCCCGTGCCGTTCAATTAGCTCTGATGTCATTCTCGGGGCTCACCCAGGCCAGCCACCACAGACCCTGCTCTTGGAGCAGAGTCAGTGTTGGAAATACGTCGCATGCACGCGATGTTCTTTCAAAGAAATGGACAAATATGGCAGCCGGACAGTGGAAAAGATCCAGTGGACCCCAAAATCAACTTTATTTGAAGTCTAAACATAATTATTTATTGATCTCACTGCGACTTTAGAGGCCGCTAATTCCAGCCTGACTTGACAGAGAAGCAGTAAATCTCAAAGTAAGGCCATGAAGGAAGGAATGGTAAAACTCAGTCCGAAAAGGGCGTTTGTGTCAATGACTACGGCCGCGGTAACGAACATCATGTGGAAATCATGATGGCCCGCATTTGAGTGTTCGATAAGGTGCGGCTCTCGTGGCTAACCCGTCTGCCTTTTCCCGAGTCGATCTGGGTGAGCTACTCCAATGCACCCTAAGAAGCATACAGCATTCATATAAACATCAGCAGGGGCACTTCTTTGTGTATTTCTGTAATATTGTTTTGTTTCTTCTAAGGCTGCAGCAACAGGGACTCCTACGGGGAGAACTGAAGAGGACCCAGCATACGATCTTGTCACTGACACTTACAATCAGATGACCAAAGATAGGAGCCAGAATAGGTAACGTTAAATATCTTCCATGGTTCCACAAATTGGTTGAAACGGCGTACTGATGTGGAGCAGTAAATAAAAACCTAGTCATGGTGACTGATTCGCTGAAAGTTATTGACGCGTTAAAAAAAAGGCAAAACCTATTCCGTGTGCAGACTGGAAAATGAGCCACTTCAATGAAAATGTGAAGCGATCAAGCTAAATGAGTCGTTTGTCGACCCCGGTCGAATTCTTTTTTATTACAGATTTGAAAAGAGCACAATCTCAGCATTAATGCTGTGAAATTGCAAGCTGATACCATCTTTAGTTTAAAAATTATGGAAGTCGGAACACCAAGAGATGTGATGAAGTGATGTGATGAAGTGGCCCTATTTTGGCCTGTATCTCCAAATGAAAATTCCCGACAAACGACTCATGTAGCTTGATCGCATCACAAATGGCATAACTCCTCACCACAGCCACTTATTTGAAAAATTCAAAATTCCTGTGGAAGACAAGGTAATGACCATCCATATGAAACACTCATTTTTTTTTTCTTAATATACTCTAGTTGCCACAAAAAATATGGTGAACTTGGGTCCAGATCGTTCTGACTCACCCTGTATATAAAGCTATTAAAGTAATTTTAAAGGTATAGTCCATCATTTGTGATTTGTGCATTTTGTTCGTTTGAAGCAACAAAAGTGCTCAAAATCTGAAGTAGGGTTCTGAACAACTAACCTGATGAACTTTCTGTCCAGCTTCAGCTGTATATTTCAAGAAAAACACCATTTTAGGATCTCAATTTCAAATCAAAAGTTGCTGAATCATGTTTTGAATTGGGCCTGAATTCAGCGTCCGAGACACGTTCTTACTGAGCCGAATGCAGCTTACGCAATGTCGGGCACTGATATCCGACGAATTATAGATGGCGCGCGTGCGTGTGCATCGTGTCAACGCTTGCGCGCACATCGCTGAATAAAGAAACGAACTACTAACTGAAATTTCCAACGGTGCCGTCTTAAGAAGCATCGTTGGAAAAGCCTTCTTACGTTGATTTCTTGAAAATGACAGCATGTCAGAAAGAATAATTTCACAGGGAGTTTAGTTCCCTTACTATCTTTTAGCCAAGTATGTTTTTCAACAATAATTACGCCAGTTACTTTTTGGATATCTGCAAATGATGGACTCTGGCTTTAAGCCTATTTTCAGAGAATGACTGAAGTCTTGTTGCTTTGCAGGAAAGACACATGGGCCCACAGCCAGAGACTGCACCTCCTACCGACACAGTCCAATCCAGAGCAGAGTGTGGTGTAAGTTCTTAGAGAGTTCATTTAAAAAGTTTATCTCTTTTAACAGATGTTGCCTGAAAAGAAGTCAAACCTTTATTGTCAGGTTTTGATCTTCAGTAACGTAACTGTCATTTTTGTTCCTTTTTTTTTAATCTGTAAAACATCTCATTTTAAAAAGCGCTTGTTTGCTCTTTTTAAAACAAATTCTGAGATTGAGACCGGAAAATGACTTAAAGCGAGAAGTAATTTCTGATATCAAGAAATTTAAGAAACTCAAGTTTTTTTTCTATTGTGGAAAGTCTGGCTCCGGAAGATTCCCCTCCACTGAACCTGCTGCATCTTCCAGTCAGGGTGGGCCGGCCACCAGTCCAGAGCCCCGAAATGAAGCACTTCAGGGAACAAGAGAGTGCTTACTGGAAGGTAAGGCATTGCAACAAGTGAAGCCACTTTGAATAACTTTCATGGGCCTCCAATATGGCCGCCGCTATGTGTAACTGAGACCACAGTATATGACATGACGACAAAGATCAACATTTACCACACGGACCTGGATATGTTTTGGCCTCCCAAGATGGCTCCCTAGTGACTTCAGCCTGAGATCTTGATGCGATATCTAAGTATGTTGTAGTGACGGGTTTGTAATTTTTACTTTCCGTACGAGAGGCATGAATGGCTGCTACGTAAAGCGCTCGCCTCTCACCTCTTTGGCCCTAGTTCGTTCCAGGCTGGGACCATGTGTGAGTAGAGTTGTTGGTTGGTTCTTTCCTGTGCCACGAGGGTTTTTTCTCCGGGCCCACCCTCCGGTTTTCCTCCCCCAAACACTTTCTATCTCTGGCTGTGCTCTGTGGTCATATATACGTTGTATGGCTGGCTGCCAAAGGGGCCTTTACAAGCCTGCAGTTCAACCACGTTGTAGCCGCGTCCTTCACAATTCAGCTTCTCAGCTGCGAGTAAGGATGATTAGCCTCCCAAATTATAACTATTGCCAACAGAAATCTAAAAGCACTTTAGATATAATCCCATGCAGCTTGAAATTTATTGTATTTCTTGTTGTTTCACAGTTACGTACCTTATTAAGAGCCCATGTTTACAAGTTGTTTGGAACAAAATTGTGATTTTTGGTGTTTTCTATAGATGTTTTCCACAGAGCAAGAATCCATTTTATTGACCAAGAAGGTACAGGGCGTAGCGACTGCCGCAATATCGCCGCACCATAGATTCCTGGCACTCGGGTGTGTGCGTGGTAAGATCAGAATAAAAATAGATCCACTGACTAATAATTTGTTTAGGCCAACAAAAAAAAGTCTCCGGTTTCTGGTATGGAGCTTGCCCAAAAAGTGGTGCGGCGACGCGGCTTTTTTTTTTTTTACCTGATTTTTTTGCTTCAAATGTCGGCTGATGACTGCAAATGGTGCCCGACTAAACTTAGTGCAAATATATGGGAGTCCAGAGAGGCCACATAAAGCTTATTCTCGACCATAACCCAATCTAAAAACACGTTAAAATTGTGCAGCAGCAGGATTCCAGTCAAACCAGTGAGTTTGGCGGTTTTGAGACATCATCTTTTATTGAAAAAAAAAACTTTTTCATTTTGCCGACGCGCATGGCTACGGCGACGCGCGCGCATACCAGAAACCGGAGACTTTTTTTTTTTTGGCCTTAGGAAGTTACTGTCAGTTTTGAAACGTAGCTCGGTTGCATATTTGTGTGTGTCCATCTGTCATTGCTGTGCTTCGCTTCATCAGTCAATGCTTTTTGTTTTGTGCAGGGGATGTGTTGGTCTACAACCTGAGCACTAGCCAGTTTCTTCCCATTCGCTGTATACAGAATGAGAGTGCACAGACGGATGCTGTCATACACATAGCGTGGAGTATGGATAGCAGTCGATTGATTACTGTCAACGAAACGGTAAGACCAACTAACAGATTGTACTCACCCCCCCCCCCATTCTCCTTAGGTAATATGCATACACTGGTTTGCAAGGATATGAAATAAATCAAAGTAAAATGCCTTGCTCAAGGACCAATGACATGCAGCCAGCATTGTTTTCAACACTGATTCCAACCCTCATTCTCCAAGCCACAACTGGAAGTTCTGCTTACAGATTGTACTCAAACCCCCCCCCCCCCCCCATTCTCCTTAGGTAATATGCATACACTGGTTTGCAAGGATATGAAATAAATCAAAGTAAAATGCCTTGCTCAAGGACATACACTCATACTCCTTAGGTAATACGCGAACACTGGTTTGCAAGGATATGAAATAAATCAAAGTAAAATGCCTTGCTCAAGGACATACACTCATTCTCCTTAGGTAATACGCACACACTGGTTTGCAAGGATATGAAATAAATCAAAGTAAAATGCCTTGCTCAAGGACATACACTCATTCTCCTTAGGTAATACGCACACACTGGTTTGCAAGGATATGAAATCAATCAAAGTAAAATGCCTTGCTCAAGGACATACACTCATTCTCCTTGGGTAATACGCATACACTGGTTTGCAAGGATATGAAATAAATCAAAGTAAAATGCCTTGCTCAAGGACATACACTCAGTCTTCTTAGGTAATACGCATACACTGGTTTGCAAGGATATGAAATAAATCAAAGTAAAATGCCCTGCTCCAGGACATACACTCATTCTCCTTAGGTAATACGCATACACTGGTTTGCAAGGATATGAAATAAATCAAAGTAAAATGCCTTGCTCAAGGACATACACTCATTCTCCTTAGGTAATACGCATACACTGGTTTGCAAGGATATGAAATAAATCAAAGTAAAATGCCTTGCTCAAGGACATACACTCATTCTCCTTAGGTAATACGCATACACTGGTTTGCAAGGATATGAAATAAATCAAAGTAAAATGCCTTGCTCAAGGACATACACTGGTTTGCAAGGATATGTTGTAAAGGACACACAACCAGTTTCTTCTGAATGTGTATTAACTTTAAAGGGAATATACATCATTTGCTTTTGCTGTAATTTTCAGAAATGGATGGAATTGGGGGGTTGGAAATATATAGCAAATATAGTTACACTGACTTTTTTGAGGTTTTGGGTTCGAAAATGCTATAAAAACCAAGAAAAACAATAATTTTCCTGTAGTCTGGTTCCCGGACTCCATTTAAGAAGAAACAGAGCAGTTTACATGCATTGGGGAATTGTAAGGTCGGGGAACCAGTCTAGCTGGCTTGTACCCGTTCATAGGTGTGTAATCCATTGCAAACTAGTGCGATGGTCAATTGGGGCCAGTATTTGGAAAAAAGCCAGTTTTTTCCAACGCTGGTCGGCCGATCAGCGTTGGAAATTGATACAAAAATACCACTTTTCTTGAAAATGACAGTATACCAGGTGCCATGATTTTACAGGATGCTTTACACTGTCATTCACTAACAGTCCAGCAAGGTATTTCAAAATGATTGGGTAGTTTTATTTTTTGATGTTTGCAAATGTTGTATTTTCCCTTTAAAGCTTCACTTTTCAGAGCTCCTCTAACCATCCTTCCCCAATCTCCGCAGGGCATCCTGCAAGTCTGGTCCATGTCTTCCGGAGGCGTCTCGCAGAAGGACATCAGGGACCTAGAACTCAAGACTCAGCCAGGGATGGCTGCTGCCTGCCAGCTGACTCAACTCCTGGCCCTCGATGCTGACAAGTCTGACTTCAACTTCAAGGAAGGTAAAAAAAAACTGGATTCGTGACTGTTTATCAAAAATGGCATACAGGAGAATTAAATTTTAAAATTGTTCTCCCTGTGCTCTTCAACAACAATGCAAGTGTTTAATTTTCATATTTTCCCGTTTTTTTGCAACCTATCTAAACTATCTTTTTTGCAACTTATCATTTTGGACAAACACCTAAGCATCCTATTGAAATAAAAGTGGATTTCAATTAATGTTGCAGGGCCTTTGCAAGAGACAGGGGCACAAACGTCTTCAGTCAGTCCAGAGATATCTGTCTTCCATCCAACTCACACATTGCTTGCCACACAGGTACAGAATATAGTCCTTTTAATTATACAGTAAATAAAGATGGCTGTTTCATTTAGAGTGCTTTGATTTTTAGTAGTAGTATGTGTTTTTTTGTTTGTTAAAATTGTTATACATTTTTATTCCATGGCAACAGAATTCAATCGTAGTTGGTCTTGAGAATGGTGATATTCTGAAGTGCAACAGTGCATCGACTGATGCTGACCAACCAAATATGGAAACAGCTTCGCATTCTCAAGTAAGTTTCACGATGTTGAGAATTTCCCCAAACAGTTGATGCTGCTTCGTGCTCAGTGCAAATGCGTACACGAATGCAGTGCAAATGCGTACACGAATGCAAGGTGTGAAGTGACATCAAGATTCCTTCAGCAAATTTGCAAGAGTCAAAGCACATTTCATCTCGGGTAAATTTGCTTTCACATTTGTATAAACTGACCAAAATGGGGATGCAGATTCTGCCGCAACCCTGGCCTTGTCACCCACCCCCCTTAAAAAACAAAAACTCCTCCACCAGAAAAAAAGGGTGCTTGCAAAACTAGCTTGTGCTTGAACAATCAAGAGGCACATCCTACAGTCTACAGCAAAAGAAGATTTCTTTTGATTGGACAGTCCCAACGGAATAAAACTTTCATTCCTAACTCTTCGTTTTGCAGGGAATCCTTTTAAGGCACATAGGGTCATTTGCATTTATCCCGAAAGTAACCTGCCAAATTATTATCAAAAAGATTACTTATTAATGATCGTACTGGCCCAAACACCTGATGAAATTAGTCTGTCTGGCTTGTTGTCATTTGGAAGAAACACGATTCTACCGCGATAGTTAAATTGCAATCCATAAGCAATAAAAATTGTTGGGTTAGGATGGATTCAGCGAAGTGCAGAAAGATAAAAAATTTTCTTTTCTTATTTTCCCCGCTAATTACAGGTGAATCAAGATGATCAGGTGAATTTCATTGGTGAGAATGTTCCCGCCGAGCTGTTCCGCTTTCATAAGTCTCCACTCATCTTCCTTGGCTTTGTGGGTTGCCATGGCGGCATGGTTTCCATGGATACCAGCGGGATGGTCTGTGAGTGGCAGTGCAGCAGGTGAGATAAACAAACAATTCTGAAATAAAGAAATAAATTTCAAGTTAACTAAGCATCCAGACTTTTAGAAATGTCATAAGTTTTAATTTGAATTTTTTTTTCTGTGGTGTAATCAAATATGCTTACTTGTTCTGTCTGCCAGAAATGAAGATATTCACATGTGGCTCCGTTTGAATGTCTGTTTTTGTATCAAATATTTGTTTTTGTTTTTCATCCATTTTATGTTGTTGTTTTTTTCTTTTAAATTTGGTGAGCAAAGTTTGTTGTGGAATTTTGTAAAACAAAAATGAAATTTAAAGGAAATGCGTATGCTGTGTAGTTTTGATAACTGGTCAGAATTTGCGAAGTTTTCATCATTGTGATTTTCTTTGCCGCAGAGAAACGTTCAGTCATTTTGGCTGGTATGAACCTAGTGCCAAGTACCAGTTCGAGCTGGCAGAGAGGGTGTACGCGCCACGGCCGGACGATGTTCCAAAGGTAAACAACAGTATGTTGGGTTTTTTATTTTCGGAAAGAATGAAGCGTGTCCTGAAAAGGATGATTTTTTTAAAGCACATTTGTGATGCGATCAAGCTAAATGCCTTGTTTGTCGGGAATTTTCATTTGGAGATACAATCTAAAACACGTTAAAATTGTGCAGCAGCAGGATTCCAGTCAAACCAGTGAGTTTGGCGGTTTTGAGACATCATCTTTCATTGAAAAAAAAAACTTTTTCATTCTGCCGACGCGCATGGCTACGGCGACTTTTTTTTTGGCCTTAATGGTTTTTTTTGCATCTGTTCACTGTAACAGATCCATTTTAGCGACGATGCGCTCACTGAGAAGAAGGTGAGCCGACAGGAGAGGCTTGCTGCGAGAGAGAAGGCCCAGCAGAGACTGGACAAGATACAGATGGAGGTGCTGTGGCACAGGGAAATGAATACAAGCTCCACAGTGGTAAGAGAAGCAGACAGTGACACAAACAAACAGACAGAACAATATGTAGGCCATCAGCCTGGGGGTTTGGCCAGTATCAAATCAGGGCATAAATGATTATAGTGCGCATGCGCAAGGTATACCGCCCCTAGAGTGGTAACGAGCATTTTGATGGACATTTTGAAAAAAAGTGATAACACCCAAAAAGCTGCCACCGCTGCAATGCTATCACATATTTTCCAACTCTGGAGGTGTATACCTTGCCAAAAATCGCTGACGATTATTCCCCTCATTTGATACCGGTGGCCAAAATTTTGGACCAAGGCCGATGGCCTAATGCAAAAGATGCCGACAGCCAAAACATAAAAAACCCAAAGAATCAGTGTTGTAATGAGTCGAGTCATTTTAAGGCAATGACTTGAGTTGAGTCATTCCAAGGCAGAAATATGATTCACGTTAAGGCCAGCACAGAGTTGCAATCAAGTGTGAAAGTGTTGCCTAGTGGTTAGGATTCATAATTCATGATCAGAGGGTCAGAGGTTCGAATGCAGCTGCTGGCCAAATATTGTGTCCTTGGGCAAGCCACTTCACCCCACTTGCCTCTCTGCACCCTGGACAGAGATGAAACTTTTTCGATTTTAATCGGAAAACCGACTTTTTGACTTTTCCAGCGAAATTTATGATTTTCTCACAATATGTCCTTCAACAGTTGATTTTGTAACGATTTTTCCACAAAATTTGATTTTTTTTAAACTATAATTTTTAAAATAGGCGATGAAGAGTCGATGAAATCAGCACATAAAAATTAATCGCGAGCGTAGTTTTAATCTCTTTCACCAGTCGCAAATTGAGTGTTTCTAAGGTAGAAACACCTAGGCCAATGCTGATCGGACCCTTTTCCGGCTGGAGAAAAGGGTAAACAGTCAACTCGCAAGCAATTTAAATGAACTTGAACAAATGCGTTCCATTCGTTCCCCACACATGCTAAATTGACGAGGCTTAAAACCAAATCCATGATGTTTTTCTTTGCGGTTTCAGCTCCAGGTCTACATGCCTAGTAAGGTGCAACAGGCGGGCAGTGTCTTCCATGGGATTGTCAGACACGCAACTATGGACCAGCTGCTCAAGCATTACACATACTTCTGCCGACCCGCTAAGGTATATGTGACACCTATTTCAATGTGTCATTCCAGAGTTGTACCGAACTAAAATCACACAAAAGATTAGAGTTAAGTTTGATGTTTGAAACAATTAGGAGCAACTACACTTGAACGATCAACTGTCACAGTCATTCAAAATGACCTAAAAGTCCAGTTTCTTGTAAATGTCTTATTCGTAGGTTTTATGCGCGGGATACCCTTCCATTTTGTCATGTTTCAGGTTGGAACTGCAGAGTAACATCTGTGTGTGCAAAAAAGGCTTTATTTTTGTACTTGACGTTTCAGAATTTCTGCAGCCGTGTTCTGAAGGTTCACCAATCCCCCTGTGGCATGAAGCTAGTTCTCATGGTTCTCTTCCCTGCATTTTCCCCAAAAGGTGGGTCAGAAAAGAAAAAGCCACATTGGTGAACAGTTCTTATAGTAAACAGTATCAATAAATCCCAAGTCATGTAAACAGGTTTTAAAATTCAGTCCCAAGCCAAGTCCTAGCTATTAAAATGAACACTAACAAAGGCATTCTTTTGTCATAGTTTGTCTTCTTCGTACTTTTGGCCTGACATATAAATTGAGTTTTGGCCTACTCATTCCAACTGCATAAGTAAACCAAGTTGCAACTTGGAAATCAGTATAATTCATGTGGATAGTTAAAGGTTGTTTTATGTATCTTCTTCCTCTAGGTCCGCACATCTCGTTTGTGGAACTGAACTTGAAGGAAATGCGCGTCGGCGAGATGCGCATTGATGTGAGCCTCAGCGAGGACGAGTATGAGAGATGTCTTAATGATGATGTCTGCAGCTTTGGGGTGCGTCTTCAGTTGATGTTATTTCTGTTTTGTCTTTATCCAGTAGCCTTTAAAATCATGACATCCCCTTTGCAGTACACTTGTACTTTTTCATGGAACCCAGGTGAGAATAGGGGATCTTATAATTATGTCATCTCCAACCTGGCTCCCATAGAAATACAAACATATAAACAAAGCATGCTTTCAGTTATGCCTCAGAGGCCACATAGAGTGCCCGTGGCCTCGTGGTCTGGAGCATTGAATTAATTCTGCAGGTTGTGGGTTCGATTCCCACCTGGGGTTGTGGTACGTGTGTCCTTGGGCAAGGCACTTTATGTTGAACTTCTCTTATGGGCTCCGTGCACAAGTACCCCCATCAACGGCCAGAAAAGGAGAGTTGGGGAGACCTAGACTGGTTTCCGATCCTTCCACTGCCTAATTTGAATGTATCCAAATTATTGGGGCGGGGATTAGTCTCATAGACCATCGCAAGTTTAATTCGAACGTATTCACGCCCCGACGACGTTTGGCGCTCACACGAAGATGCGCTGACGATGCCTGACACTCATGCAAAGTCTCGGTGGCTATATAACTTTTGCACATTCAGGAAGTCGTGCATACTTCGCACGCATACCAGTACACCCCATTATGCGCACACTGTATCCCATCCACAGAGCTCTTAAAAGAGGTAAAAACGCGCCCTCGTTTGTTGGCGCATGGAGCCCATAATGTGATCTAGGGTTGCGTTAGTTGCTGATGCAACACATACAAATGCCGCATCAATTCCGGAACTTCGGTCTGACCAGAGACCGACTATTTTTTTTTTGGCCTAATAATTATCGATTGTATTTTTTTGTTAAAAATTAAACTGGCAAAGTTTCTGTCTCTAGATGTCGCCAGTAGTAGCAGTCACCGGTACCTCGTACCTGGTGGCCTGCATCCTGGGCACGGTGCGCGTCTACTCCATGGAGACGACCTTTCAGATCATGGCAACCACCTTGGATAGCCAGAGCGGGTCAAAGATCAAGAGGGCATTCGCGGAGAGGTCATCCGTGCTGGTGTCTATGTCCAACGGAAACATCAACATCATAACTTACGCAGCGGTGAGCGTCTTTAATTTTTCGATCGAGGGAGAGGAGTGGGGAAGGGGGAGTCGACACCTTGATTTATCTCCGTTTCAGGCTTCAAATCTGGCTCATAAATCATCTAGAACATTGAAGTTAGAGTATATTATTTGCAGCGATCCAAAAAGTAACTGACAAAATTATTGTTGAAAAGCATACTTGGTTTAAAGATAGTAATGGCACTATTCTTTCTGGCATGCTCTCATTTTGAAAGGTCACTTCCAAACATCTGTTTAAAGATGCATTATTGGAAATTTTTGTTAGTATTTTTTTTTGGGGGGGGTAAATTTGGCAAAACCATAAAAGGGCGTGCGCAAGTGTTGACAACGCGCACACGTGGGCATGGTTTCTATAATTTGTCGGTTCAGTGCGTGACATTGTGTAGTTGCAATCGGCTTCATGAGAACGTTTCCCGGACGCTGATTTCACGTACAATGTAAAACATGACTTGGCAAGTTTTGAATTGAAATTGAGATCCTAGAATATTGTTTTCTCAGAATATACGTGTACAGCATTCACTGAGCTAAAACTTCAGCAGATAAGTTATAAGCCAGTTCGCGCCGGTTGACACATACGTGGGTGTATGCGGTATTCGGAGTGGATGACGGATAAACACGCAGGGAGCGAGACCGGAAATATCTGTCAGTGCCTGCTGGCAACGAGCAAGGCCGGAAATATGAGTGTGCTGCCCGAGGGTGATGGCTTCAACCAGCCTGGCTTGAGGAGTTGAGGTCAAGCGAAAAGTAATCCTGCGCCTTGTTCCGTTCTTTTCAATATAGTTCCGGCGTGTACTGGTTTAACGTTGTTTTCTGTTCGTCTTTTTTTTTCCCTTAAGAAATACAACTCAGTTGACGTCTTGCAATTGGGTGACAAGAACACTGTGAAGGCAAGACGACGGGTCTATGAGTCATTCTTGAATTGGTGAGTGTTTGTTTTTTCACTTCATGCTCGCAGAATTTCAATATGGGATGATGTACCATATTTGCACCGTGTACTTGGTATCTGACAGCCGTTGAAATCACCCAGGCAACTGATTTTCTTTTCCCCACCCCTTCTCCCCCCCCCCCCCCATCAGATTTGTTAGGTCAACAAAAGTGCCCCTCTCACGGTTATAAATGTGCCGCCTTGAGATGAAAACAAAACTGCCCCTCAAACGCACAAGTACATATATGAAAGCGTGCTCGCGCTACAAATGAAATTGTCTGCTCTCTTGTAATGCAAAACTGCCCCTCAAAAGCAGAAGTACCCCCTCTCGCATTAATAACAAGATTTTGCACCTTCTTGAATGGAAACTTACCCATTGAAGGCACAAATTGTGTCCTTCTCGAAATGGAAAACTGGCTCCTAAGAGAAATATAGTGCTCTTCATATAAAATGAAGTGGCCATCAAAAGCAACAGTGCCCCTCTCACAATAAATGGTCTCTACATAACTAGGTAAAGAAACACAAAGAGCAAGATGGACAACGTATTCATGATTTGTTCTTGGTCAAGGTTTATAGCGAAATGAACTAAACCATATGTTTTCCTCCACATTCACACCGACCGAAAATGCCCCTATTTCTGAGCAAGTGGGCCTCTTTGGTGGTGCCCCCAGTTTAAAAAGAGTTCCGTCGCCCCTGTTTGCTACTTCTTTAGTGAATATAATCATAAAAAAAATCAGCCTTCTTTTCTGCATGGAGCCAGTGATCAAATCCCATGTTCTCAATCCTTCTCCCAAAAATAAAAACAGGAAGAAGAAAAAATCTGAGGTTCCCCCTGAGCAGCAGCTCCGGCGTGGCGTTTGGACCATGGACGGCGACACGGACCGTAACGTGGAGCTGTTTGCCCGCAGAATGGTACTGCAGCTGGCCGACGTGGCAGTCTACATATCCGAGGACTTGGATGTGGACTCCAACCGATTGAAGCAGTTTTGGATCGAGGACAAGAACAAAGCCGAGAGCAATCTGCTGCAGAGAATTTTGGTGAGAGAAAAACCGTAAATCTCTTGGAGTCGGCATGTATGGGCCTTGACTCGTATCCACTATATCAATGGATGCCAGTTATCTATAATTTATGTGCAATATTATTGTGTCGATTTTGGCCAAGTAAAAGTGTAGCTTAAAAAGGTCCAGCCATGTGACCACACATTGGATGACCCAGAGCGTGTTGCGTCGATATTTCGATAGACAAACCACGCGAAATATAGATTTGTTACCCGAAGTTACACAATTGAGTGGTTTATTGTTATTATGTTTATCTTTAGAGCAGACACTGTTAGGGTAAGAACAACATGAATTCTGAGTAAAATGATGATTTTTGACTAAAAAAACAAACATCGTTAGATTGAAACAAACAGAAGGAAAGTGTCCCAGATAACGTCTCCATTTCAAAGCCGGGCATAGCGAGTTACGGTGAAGCCATTCATGTACAAACATGCACGTGTAGATGGCGTGACTAGCAAAATCAGGAACCTTGCTTAACTCGAACTCGGGATACCTCAAATGTTGTATCCATTCCCTTGAGATTTGACTTAACGAGAGTTTACTGGATGTGGAAATGCTTTTAGGGATGCCACGCCATGAAAAATACATATCCCGATTTAATATTTCTCATGGGACTTTCACAAATGAATAAATTATGTGGAAATGCGTAGGCGACGTGACACCCTGAAAAGTGTATTTCCAGATTGAGTATATTCCCATGAGACTTTGGGGGAAAATCAACCCGCCATAAGAAACAGTGTTACTATATGTTTCGGGCGTAGCACATATTGAAAAATATATCTGGAAACCCCAACACTGAGTGTAGAATGAACTAATTATTTTTTTTGGTTAAGAAAGTTTTCTTCCAAAATCTTTCAGCAGGGTAAAACCTGTTGAATGGGTTTATTTTTCCAGCAGAGCACAGACATGCATAGTCTGAGTATATCACCCGTTTTCCGATGGAGTCCTAGCCCTCTACGTAACCAACGTCTGATCTATGTGAGCAATGCAAATTTTATGCAACCCCGCTACGCACCAGCCAATCAGAGTTGATTGTAGAAATTGTGACGTCATTTCGATCAACTAAGCTGTTGAATGGTCAATTTGGCTGCCACGTTTTTGTAATACATTTACGGAACACCTGATAAAAGGCGCCCGCTGAATGGTCAGAATCTCGAGGTCACGATGCAGGCTTGTTTTGCATAATTAATCGGCGAATCTGCTCGCATATTCATTGACCCTTGCTGTGCAAGGGGGTATTCCATAGACTCGGACATACCAGTTTTACGCATGGTGACTTTGCTCATATAACTTGGATATTTTCAGGAGCAAAGGAGACAGAACTCGGCTAGCGGAAGTGATCCCCAGAGGTGAAGGACTTCAATCAGCTCTGTCAAAGCACTGCACCAGCCTGATCAAGACTGGCTACGAGCCTCATATTAGGAGATCAGAGACCAGACTCTAAGGGAGTAAGATGTAGTGTGATTTACTTGTGTTCCTGATTACAGAAGGAGCTCGTAAATGTAAACTGCTCCATCAAAGTGAGGAATAAGTCCCTCTGGCTGTTTGTGGTAACAGTTGCTCAATGCAAATGTAACTCTCTTACTCGGTCAAATGCAAATGTAACTCTTGTACATTATGTAAAGAGAAAAACAGCACAGGAAATTAAACAGTTGACTGTATTGCATTTCACTTGGTCTTGTTTAAATTGAAGGCTACACACTGGACAAGGCCCTCATGCATCCATGCACGAAGGCAATACCGCATCATCCGCATGTACGTTTTTATATTTAAAGGTAGGGAAGATCGATTGCCATTTGTGCATTTTTTTCGTTTGAAGCAACAAAGGTCCTCAAAATCTAAAGAAGGGTGCTTAACAACTGACCTGATGAAGTTTTAGCTCAGTGAAAGCTGCGTATTCCAAGAAAACAATATTCTAGGATTTCAATTTCAATTTCAATTCAAAAGTGGCAGAGTCATGTTTTGAATTTTGCCCCAAATCAGCTCATTCAATCAATTACAGCTACGTGATGTCACGCACTGAACCGAATACTAGCAACCACGCGCGCGTGTGCGTCGTGTCAGCGCTCTCATTCACAGATTCGCCGAATTACAAACCCAACTACATGTACTAACGGATATTTCTGGAAAAAAAGTGCCACTTGACGCATCTTAGGAAATTGCCTTCTTGTATTGTTTTCTTCGAAATGACAGTATGCCAGAAAGCATAATTTTACAGGGAGTTTTGGGCCATTGCTTTCTTTAAACCAAATAATTTTTTTCAACAATAATTTTGTCAGCTACTTTTCAGATAGCTGCACACAAATGATCTACTCTGCCTTTAAAGGGAATATACATCATTTGCTTTTGCTGTAATGTTCAGAAATGGATGGAATTGGGGGGTTGGAAATATATAGCAAATATAGTTACACTGACTTTTTTGAGGTTTTAGGTTCGAAAATGCTATAAAAACCAAGAAAAACGATCATTTTCCTGTAGTCTGGTTCCCTGACTCCATATAGGAAGAAACAGAGCAGTTTACATACATTGGGGAATTGTAAGGTCAGGGAACCAGTCTAGCTGGCTCGTACCCGTTCATAGGTTTGTAGTCGATTGCAAACAAGTGCGATGGTCAATTGGGGCCAGTATTTGAAAAAATGCCAGTTGTTTCCAACGCTGATCGGCCGATCAGCGTTGGAAATTGATACAAAAATACCACTTTTCTTGAAAATGACAGTATACCACGTGCCATGATTTTACAGGATGCTTTACACTGTCATTCACTAACAGTCCAGCAATTAAGGTATTTCAAAATGATTTGGTAGTTTTATTTTTTGATGTTTGCAAATGTTGTATTTTCCCTTTAATTCCACTGCAGGTTTGTTGGATGTGGTGAAGAAATTTTCACTTTCTGGAAACTAAGTTTGGGTTCATTTTGTTTCTGGGTTAAAGTTTCCCTCCCCAGGCTAAATGAGGAACGGAAGTGTCACTTCCTTATGACCTCAGAGGTCAGCCCAGGTCACAGTACCAGACTCAAAAACGATCAACCGCCCCAAAAAACTGTTTGTAAGTTTTGAGTTCAAATTTAGCAACTGTTTACTGAAAGGTTGACCTCTTTCAATTTGTGGAAAAATAATTTTTGTTACGGTCTGTGAAACTGCATTACTCATTGGCAATATGTACCACAACTCATCTGTACATGTATTTCATGGGCAAGTGCCAATAGAGGGCGCTATTACAGCAGCTTGTGGAGTTCACTTAGAATTTCTCACTTGGGGGGGGGGAGATAAACTACACCGAATTAAAAAAACGCTGCTTTTGCATTTGACAGAAAGGTCTGTCTGATTATGTGATTCGTGTCTCTTATTTTCACACACATTAGAAACTAAAGCAACTGAATCTAGTAAAGTTTTCATGTTTAAAATGTAAAAAGAATGAATGAACTTTTTTCCCAAATTATTTTTGAACTTGATTCTGAAATGAAATTATTTTTTCATATATTTTAAAGAAAATATTTTTCAGTTTTCATTGTATAAGTCATGTTCAGGTTCCTAGATTTACTTCCAGATGAACTTATTCCATCCATTGTTTGTGCAAATTTTACTGCATTCTTCACCTTAAAAACACAGGCAATATTTCCAGCAGAGAGCAAAAAGCTTTATCTCTTTATATTTTTTTTTTGGGAGGGGGCAAAGTAATTAGTTTGGCTGTTGAAGATTAGATGTTTATATTTTTTAAAACTTTTTTGTACCATCCCTGTAGTGGTATTGTTTATTTTTTATTCAATTAGGCTTAGGCCTTGATGTTGTATATACCATTTTATTAAAGAAAGATAGAATGGCACTATTTGTGTTCTAGTCACGCTCATTGTCTGCAGATTGGATTTATTCCCCCATCACCCAGACATTAATTATAGAACACAACCCCCCCCTCCCCCCTCCGTTTCCCAGCCGCCAGCACATCTTTCCAGACATGTTCAGACGTGTCTTATCCGATGTCTTTTGTATTATGTTCCTTATTATTCCTACACTCACAACTCGATATCCAGCATCCTGTATTCTCTGCACCTGGCTGTACAATGTGAGCAACTCAAAAACAGAATGCTGTTTGTTGTGTCATGTATGAAGTAATTCCCCCTATATCATGATTTAGTGATATTATTGAAGACGGTCAGAGCATACTGACCGGAACGTCGAGTTTATACCTCTGGTTCTTTTCAGAACCATTCTCTTTAAGTTGAGAAATTATTCGCACGTGGTGTTTTCGCACACCTTACATTATTTAGTATTTCCACCATGCAAGGCCTCAAATCTTACTTATGATTTAGTGAGTTATGTACATTTGCTGTTCGTGCATTTGTGTTCGTTTCTAATAATAACACCACTCAAAATCCAAAGTAAAATGTTCAAAACCTACCTGTTGAAGTTACTATTTTTGAGAAAACTGAAGAAAAAAAACATGCACAATTTTTGCTGACAAACATTCTTTGGACTGAACATTGGAAATCACCTACATTTCTTGATTTCTTTCTAACCGACAGCGAGCCAGATGGAGTAATTTCACGGGGTATTTAGTACCGGTACAATTTGTAATGCAATTATTCTTTTCGATTATAAATATGACGGTTACTTTGAGGATAAATGCAAATAATCCTATATAATGCATACACGTCATGTTTGTGTTCCATTTTCAGTACTGCCTTTTTATATTCAATTCGATTGCTTTTATTTCAACTGTTTGTCAATACATTATTGACTCCGTATAATATCTAATAACGGGTACTGAAAACGCCACCACTAAAGCTATAATCATATTGAATTATTAAAATCTGGCACATTTTAAATTCCCTCGATAAAATATTTGAATGCCATGTCCATACAACAACAAAATTAACTGAGCTTCATGTTAAAAATTGTTATAAACCTTTACTTATAGCTTTGCATTTGGACTTGGAGATTCAGCTATCAGCTTTCGCCGATCGAAAAAGTTCAGTGAGGTTGAATTTGAAAGAGATTGACTAAAGCTGCATTCGAGCAACGTCTATTCTGTCCACATCAGATTTAGTCCAGACAGAGAAACAAGATGTTGCAAAGCTTCGGCTCGGGCATGTTATCACCTTTCCCTATCATCATTGTGCTGCTCGGAAGAAAGAAGAAGAATGTGTAGCCGCGAGGCAGGAAACATGTCGTCGTCTCTTCTGTCAGATGGGGTGCGATTGCCGCGCAATGTTTTCAAGCATCGGCGAATTTTTACAGGTAGTGCTGATTAAATCCTGTGATTAAATTCCTCATTCCTCCATGATGTTATCGAAGGTCCAGCACAGCTGTTTTCAATTTGGATTATTTGAATGTCGCTGTTGTTGCTGATATATTGTTAAAGCATAAAGCAGAAAACTGAGGGTGGGAGGAGGGGTAGGTTATTATGAACACCTCCCCCCAGATGCCCCTATAGTTCCGCCCCCTCATTTTAGGGATACCGTGGAGGGTTGATTTATAAAGACTCGTCGAATAGACCCGTTGCATAGAGCGCCCCCAATGAGGACAGAGGTGTCTGTTTCTCTGTGATACGCATAAGTACACATTACACTTGCATTGTCACTGAATAAAAATGAGAAAACCTGTCCTCAGTGAAGATATAAACAGGAACATTTGTTCTGCGAACTGGACTTTTCTTTGGGTCCTTGCTATATGATCTATGCATTGACAAGGTGAAAGAACCTTGCCAGTTCTTGAATTTAAACCTTTGTTACCATGAAAAAAAAGGTTTCACTTTGATGAGACAGTCTGGATTGAGTTATCGCATTATTTAAGTGACATAATTAGCAGATGACGTCAAAATGCGGTCCAGCAGTACACCGGACACTTTCAACATGCTTTCAGTGTGTTTTATTTCTCCATGCTATAAAATCAGGTATATGAAGTTATGAACACATTGAAATTCCATCTTCTTTCGTTCTCCTGTGCTATATCTTTCCTAAAGTCTTTAAGTCAGAAGTAATGTGTCGTCGAGGTGTTGGCAAGAAGATAGTGAAGATTATTAGAAAACGCCGTGTGTGGTTCCCTGTCCAAACAGATTCACAAGTTTTAAGAGGAAGGTATAGCGGCGGCGGTAGCTTCTCTTTGGAAAAAGAATTCGGCTTATAAGGATTTAGGATGCAATTATTGTGGTAGAGCTAAACGGATCTAATGACTGGCCGGACCAGAATAGGTTAACAAAGGCAGGATGATACTGTACAGAAACAAGAGTTTACACTTCTATTCAGAGAAGGGGAAATGGCACTAAATCTTGCTACTATTGCCCAGTGCCGCGCCGCCGCAAGCCGGTTGAGAACCATCGGAGCCACTGTGTTCTTCGAGAAACGAGCCTCGGTGGAAAAAAAGTGTTTAATCTGGCGCCTTTACCAATGGATTGGTAGAAAAAAACTCCCGTAAATATTTGGGAGGGGTCAGTACATTAAGACAGACACCCATCTAGGCTAACTTTGCAAAAGCTACTAAACTGAATGACGAGGGGGGAAATGACCACTCGTTTGATGAAATTGAAATGCCAGAGGATTTTTGTTCAAGAACAACGCAGATTTTGCATTGCACGAACATGTAACTATAAGATCATGATTAATAGTAATTTGGAGTCTTATTAGTTTATTTCTCCCAAATGTTGTATTTCTTTGGTTGAAACGTTTTGCTCTTGGTTTACAGGAAGATTTTCTCTTGTTTGTTTGTTTGTTTGTTTTTTGTTTTTTGTAATTAATTTATTTTGTTTTTGAAAGTATATGAGTACAGAAATTGTTTTAGTTCATATTCGTTAATTACATGATTTTCATTACTGAGAACGTATAGGCCACGTATTGTTTTCGCTGTTCCAATTTAATACTCTTCAGACGCCAGCATTGAATTTGAAAGAGAAAAATATTCAGGATTTTCAGAAAAAAAGGGCTTACCTTAGGAATGCCAAATGAAAGTGATGACGTGGGCTAGGCTGTGTGTATTTAATTTGCTCAACCAGTCGTGAAGATAAGCGAAATCGCGCAGCGACTCGCATGATTAGAAAAATTGTTTACGGTCTTTGATTTTTTTCTCTTCATTTTAACGGACTGGCGACTAATTTTCTTCGACTTTATCAAAAACGAGACACAATATAAACAAGAAAAGTGACACATAATGAACTCCACATCATGCGCTCCAACGCAATTCATAAAAAAGGAATATACTAAGCTTGTACCATTTTTTTTTCTTGAATTATTAGAAATCACACCGTGCCACCATGGGCGAATCAAGGAACGAGTTAAATTTCAAAACTGCCAATTTCGGAACCCTTACCCTAAATATGTATAATTTCAGTAAATGGTTAATAAGTTGTCCTGATATAAAATCCAATATTTTGACAACTTGTTCTTCAAGTGATAAATCCGTGAGGCCGAAATTAACTGTCAACGAATTAACCTGGAAGAGAAAAAAAATGTCTGAAAAAGTCCTCTTTGCTGTGCGTCCGTGCGGAACGCACCAATCACACGTGAGATAGGCCACCCACACTCACCACACGTCACTGAATGGGAAACTGCTGGCACAATCGTCTGCTCGCTTTTTGTGCATGTTGCAATGGGAGATTCTGCAAATTTTTAACGTGCAGAAACAGTACGTGCACGCACGCAATACAGACGGAAGTTACAAACGAAACACGCGGGTTGTTCCGGCGGACCAACTTTTCCTGTATTCATGGTTGCTTTTCTCTACCGGATTTTTCTAATTTGAATACGGTGACATCCTCTGGAAATACGTTGGTCATCATTTTAATCGATATTCGGCATCACCACTCCGGAAAACCGTAGTATTTATAAAGTATGGGACGGTCAAAAATGCTCACTTGATTGACTCGACATCACCATTGCAGTTTTGCGTGAAAAGTTGCTGTCATTTTTAGTGTCAACATAAAAACAAACGCGCTTGGCTGTGACTGTGTCGTCTGCCACCGTCGGTAGAAAACTATCTGGAAACTCCTCAGTTTCTTGGACCGAGACAATTTTCCTGCAAGGAATTATGGAAAGTAGCGTGGATTTTCGGAGATTTCTCCTCTTTTGGTTTGGACTGTTGTTGTTTGTCGGCGATGGAGTTTTATCGCAACTGGAGCGGCCGACTTGCGAGAACGTTCGGAACATTTTCACAAGTTTGCAGTTTGCACGGGATGTGGACACGCCAGAAAATCCAATTTCAGGTAGGCACTTGACTTTTTTGACTGTCTTTGAACTTATTGTGTGAGAATTTGAGCATGAAAATGTCTGAAAATGTTAATATATTAAACTTGATGTCAAAATTGTAAACTTTTAACATGTTAAAACTCTTTGAGTATACTTTTTGTCATGTTTGTGTTGACACTAAAGTTTAAGAAAATGTCATGCAAGTGTCAGGTTGGCTCAGTGCGGAAAGGGCATATTTTCCATTTTTTTTGCAAAAAAACCGACAGAATCCACCGATGTTTGTTGGGTGCACATAGCGTGAGTATGTCATGAGGTATTGTACGGAGTTTAGGGGCAAACTGTGCAGCGGTTCTGTGGGAAACAGCTTGGTTGGGATGGACGTTTTTGTACTTAATTAGTGTTTTGTGCTGACAACAATTTTGCGGGGTTCTGAACCTATGAGGCTCCACTACGTGGAGCCTCATAGTTCTAGGAGTAATGCATCCCCTGAAAATTCACATTTTTTATTGCAATGTTCCAGCCAGCATTTACTTTTGTCACAATTACGTTTTTCCCCAAAAGTTCTTCACGTTTCATACTCCAATTCTTTCAGCACTATATTATCATAATGCCAAATTCAACAATTAGAAAATTTGTCAAATGTCACATGAGTATTTAGGAGCTGTTATTTATCATAAAGAAAATTTCAGGCTAGTTCTAGTAGGCTTACAATTTTTTTTTTAATCATGTCTGGAAAGTTTAGTTTTGTTTTGATATAAATTTAACCTAGGGTTTACAAAATTAACCACAGCAACACTGTAGTTCAAGATTTTGTAGTTGAAATCAGCCTACACACATCTAGAATCATGATTGTTAGTGTTACAGAAAAATCAAAGCGACAAAAGCTCATACAGGGGATTTTCTTTTCTGCAATTTTAAAATTCCTCAGATCTTCATAAATTTTGTGTACAATTGAATGGAAACGTGTCACAGGCTAAATTTGGAAATTCTGACCGACACTAGAATAAACACTCCACCGGTTTCATCATATTGCGACGATAAACCAGGAGACTTCTTCAAATTATCTAAATGCCCACACTCAGCTTGACAAAGTCTAACCGAAAGTATGCGAACTTCAGATTAAATATTAATTTATCAAACCACATTTATTGTTGACATGACATTTTCTTTTGTAATATTAGGGTGAACAGCTCCCCACGCATGATAACCCAAATCAAACACCCTTGAACTGGAATAGGGCATGAGAGGGCTAGTCCTCATGAAATGTTTGGACTTTGAATTCATTTCGTGAAGTAACAAAACATTATTACCAATCTATAAAGGTTATTTTTGTTTGTACACTATAGGCCCCTACACAATTTTAAAACTAAGTTTAAGTCTGCAACAAATTTGAGTGCACACAACCCATCTGGTATACAGTAGAGTGCCAGACTGGAGATTTTGTATTTTACGTGCCAGTCCAGAAACAAAACTCATACCAAAATTATTGATTAACATTGTGAATCTGTTGTATTCAGAAATTTGTTGTTTTAGAGTTTTGAGTTTATAAGGAAAACCTTGATAAATATTTCACATAGTAAAAAAAAATATATATATACAAATTTTCTGGGCAAATTTTGTTTTTGCAAAAGTGAACACAAATGAGTTTACATATTCAGGATCAATACATTTAATTGTAAACTTTTATTCCAATTGATGATTTTTCTCTCATTTCAGTGAGGCCACGCACCACATAGGGAGAGGCCCAAAACTGCAACACTTTTCAGACTTTTAATTTTACTGAGATCATTTATCCATGACACTGCATTAGTGCGTTTATTAGCACAAAATGTACGTGTTTTTGTCTGAACAAAAAAAATCAGTTATTTTCATGGGGACTCCAATTTTCACCACCGGCAAATTTATGAGAAAATAACAAAAACCAACATACAAATGTAAGTCCAATTCATCTTTTCTTCACTTACTTTAATAATTTAAAAAAACAGGAGCAGGTCTGAAAGTGTGCCAGCGAGACACAACTTGTTGCACTCGGCGGATGGAGGAATTGTTGCAGCAACAATCAGAAGATGACTTCAGGAAAGCCATACAGACGAACGTGGATTACTTGGAGTTCTTGTTGTCCTCACATGCTGACGACTTCAAAGGTATGTTGAAATACTCTGATGGCAAGTTGAAATAGGCTACACTCAAAGCCAAATCGGAGTCAAATGACTCGTCAAACAGAGTAAATGGCCCGTTACTCTTAAAAGAGTAAGTTGACTTTAATATAGAGTCAATTTGACTCCCTTCCCAGAGTCGTTGGTGTCAAATGACTCGTCAAACAGGTTAAATGGCCCCTTACTCTCATGAAGAGTAAAGTGGACTATAAAACAGAGTCAATTTGACTCCCCTCCAAGAGTCATTGGTGACCGGCTTTGCGAAGTCAAATTATATAGGCCTATTACGGGAAAGAAATAAACCAAAAACCGCAAAACTCAATCCGAAAATATGTGGGCGAGGGTTTTACATGCATTGTTAATACCTAAATACCCTCATAAAGAATGAGGATTCTTGGTCTGTTTTTCAGTGAACAGTTGGTGACACATTAAGAATGTCTCTGTGCATGGCACCCTTTTATTTTCAAAAGTAAAACAAGGTACCGGTACCTGTACCAGAAGATTTTAGAGTGAAGATCACTCTAAATTTCGATTGAAGTAATTTGAAAAAGAATCAATTTTGTCAAACTACACATTTTTATAGTGAAAACCTTATCTAGTCAAACGAATAAACTGCGCTCTGAATTGTGTTCCTACAGTACATGTACATAAAGTAGGAGTAGTTTCAGACGGATAGAGCGATTTTTCACTCAAATATATCAATTCTTAAAATGTTTTTTTTCTTCTTTCTTTGGAAATAAGAGAGAAAGATTTAAACATGCTTAATCCTTTCAAGTTACATGTTCCTTCTCTTTGTTGAGATGAACTCAAGAAGCAAATTTTCTCCTCATTAAAAAACCATGAATTATTTAGTGGAAACGTCATTCCTGTTTAGATCATTGTCGTCACCTTTTGAGAAAAAAAACCTGTCAAAAGAGTGTCTGAGAAGTTACTCATGTTTTTTACCTTCCCCGCACAATAAAATGGTAACAATAGGACCACAGCATTGGTATTGGTGCACAATGGTAGAGCAGGCCATGGTAGCTGTTGCTTTCTGTTGATGAATACGGTCTTTAGCAGTGAGTCACTCATCCTTATCTGTAAACAGTGTTAACAAATATCTTCACTGAACATCCAGCCTTTGGCTACTACTACTAGCCTCTCCAATTACCAGCCATTATCAGTTAAAAAAAGTGAGTGGGCAGCATTTGCTAGACAATGACACGTGAAAATCAACGGTTAAGTCTTCCCGGCTGTTCTGGTATAATTATCGCTCTTCCTCGCTAATGTTTTGTCAGTGGCAATCAAGTCTTTAAGGGATCAGTAGAGGCTGTATTGTGATCCACTTGATCTCTTCCGGTGACTGGCTTTAAGGCCATGTCCAACATGTACTTGCTGAAACGTGTGTTTTTATCGCCAGTCGTAGCGTGTTATTTGGATGAGGCCGACAACCAAGAGCCAGACCTTTTCAATTCAGTTTTTTCAAAAGCAATCTTGCCAGGCCATGCGCCACTGATGAGACCTACGGTACAGTTACAGTCTGTAGACAACGTAATTACACATAATACACCACTCAAAGGGAGAACCCAATGTGATTGCCAAACCATCTGGTGTAAGAGACTTGAACTCATGTATCATTTAAATGTTTTTTTTTTTAAGTTTTGCTTCATGTGTCGGTAAATTTTATCTTAACAAGACTGTACCTACTAGGCAGGTCATTTGGATTTTGTCAGTTTTAAAGTTGGGCCACATGGTTAAATGAAATTTGCGGTCTCATGTACGTGTACACAGTGCATTTAGGGGGGAAAATATTCTAAAAAATTGGATACCTCTATTCCTCATTTCTCATCTGTTCATTGACATTATATCATGTGTTTCTCCAAATTCGCCCTGGCTTGACTAGTTGAGTTTTTTCTTGGAATGGCTGTAATTACAAGTACCCAAAACTGTTCAATTATTTCTGAGCGCAGGAACTGCTGCCCCAATCTATAAACGGAGTAAATCCCATATGAACATGCCCATTAATCAATAGTCCATTTAGCGGTCCTTATAGATTGGGTATAGATTGGTGCATCCTCCTTCCTTTCATCTTTTCTTTGTGCATTCCTGAGTCATCCCGTGTGGCATGCAGCTCCTGGGTGTCACAATGGACCATAGGGGGAAGGAGAGCCTGTTGAATTGGTAATTGCCCCCCAAAAAACGAAACCATGTTGCCATCTTGCCAACGGAATTGCCAAAAAAGAGCACCACTGCTTGTACATGTATGTAGTTTATGTACAATGAAAAAGTAAAATTATTAAAAGTTACGAGTACGTGTTGGACAAATGTGCGTTATCGTCTCACAAATATATGGTAATTGCTATTAAAAAAAAGGAAAGAAAGAAATCGAAAATGTCTTGCTTTATGTACTTTGCAAGTTTGATAGTCGTTGAGATTATTTTCATAATTGGTTGGTGGTTCACCTTAAACCAATTGGTTGGTGGTTCATAATTATTTTATAGAGTCATTCAGCATTTAACTGGCTTGAATCCCACAACAACACAGCAACAACAAAATCAAGATGCACGCCTGCACTCTTGACTTATGCACTTCAATTTTCACCACAGGTTCTGAGTCAAAATGATTGTGCCCACGTACTTGTATTGAACTTTTAAAAGATCAAGTTGTCAACTCCTCCTAATCTCCCCCTTATTTCTAACAGGAAGCAGGCCCACAATCCACCCAGGGAAAACACAAAGCAAAGGCTTAATATTATCCCTCCATAAATTCCCGCACATTTTGATTTTTGGCCATTGATCCAGCTTCTGGGGGATCAAAGTGTCAGTCAACAGGTCTAAATTCCATTATCAGGAGCATTTAATCTCCTTAATCCCTTTAAAGCCAATTGCATTCCAGGGTATTTACACAATGCTTAGGCTGGCTTAAGTCATTATCTCTGTTTACCTACATGTGCTTAAAAACTGAGCAGTCTGGAGCAGCTGTACACAAAACACATGGGTGGCAAGTGTACCACAGCAAAGCAGTGATGATAATGACAGTGTGGAAGTGTTTATTAGCACCAGAAGAGGGCTTTCTGTGCTCCCTGCACAGGTTTTAATGGTCGTTTCACACCATGTAATGACTGTGATAATTGTTGATTAGATTGACACACATTGGGGAATAACAACAGTGATTTGGTTGGGTCACTGTTAACAGATTAATGGACAGCTGGATGAGCAGGAAAAATAGGTTTGTGATTGTTAAGTTGGATGTTTCCTTGCTCCCAAGTGCGACATTATTTAATTTGCAATTGGTTAATTTACAAAAAAGGCCCCAACTTGCACATAATTCTATACAGATATTCTTTCCAATAAAACATTCAGAATTATTTTATATATTTCTATGTAAATGTATAAAAGGTTTTTGCATTTAGATGAACATTGGTCTTAGAACCTGTTTGAAATAACATGCATGAGAGAAAAGAACCGATAATTTGTAAACTGAAACTTTTCATAAAAAAGTTAAAGGCACCCCAACCCACCCAACAAGTTGGAGTGGTGCAAAGAATGGTAATACTAGTGTATTATTGGGGGTCTTAAGGCACAGATCAGGCCCGGAGAAAGCTTTTCATCTCTGAAAGAAAAAGAAAGCAATAAAACGCTGCAATCCCAAAAGCTAACAGTTGGTTCCAGAACACACTTTTTGCCCAACAAAGGCGGCAGTGTTCACTGGTAACAAGAATCACAGTTATAACACGGCCCAATCCGGCCAGTCTTCCTTTCAGGCAAAATATCTTCCCAGGCCCATTACACAAAAGGGATTGAGCTAATCCTGGTGGATCTCCCAGTCTGGTACAAAGGCCCCATTGCCCCCCAAAACCATACAGATTTTGTGCTTCGCTGAAGCAAATCAAACAAGGGATTTCTGTAAGTCTTATGCTGGAACTTTAAAAAAGCCTCAAATCTTTTCTTGTACTGGAGTTTGATGAATGAAAAGGTACAAATTATAAAGGCAGTTTGTTTTGTTAAAAATTGATGTTATTGTACGCATTAAAAATGTTTTACATAAACTATGTAGTTACACCCAGTATGTAAAATGTAAATTTGGTCATTTTTTTCCCGTGCTTGGAGGACACTAAATGTGATCTGCATCTTTCTAAACTGTAAACGTACGAAATATCTCCGAACAAGGTGATATTCTCGTGAATGATTAGCATTGTATAAATGAAAGCTACCGGTACATTCCTATGGTACAACCACAACATGTGAAGTTTATATTCAAAATGTTATCAAGGTACTCAACATGATGAAACCATTTACATTAGGCCTGCAGTCTGTACTCTTGAAATCTGTTGCATTTCCCTTTTTCCAAGGCAGTCGGCCTTTCCATTGAGGTGTTAAAATAAAAACAATCTGTGCCACCTTCACATGGTCTCACGCGATGACAGAAATACTGAGAGAAAATTGACCATAATGTGAAGTGGTTGTTTAGTTATTCCACAGAAGGCCAACCGTTGCTCACTTACACTTGGGGTGTAACCTACACTGGTGTTTAGGCAAGGGTCCGTGACTGGCCCAGAGTGAGCAGTGCCCAGCCACCGCACTTTGTGGCATAAACCACTTTTGTTGAGCATGGCACCAACTTGACAGATTTATGAAGTTTATTTGCTTTTGGCTGCTGGATGTATAATTTGGCTGATAGGGCTACTTTTTATTATTCGGTTATTACGCACCTGTTGTAAGAATGTCTGGTTTGGTCAAAGTGGCGCCTCTGTACAAAAAATCACCAGAAAGTCGGTTAGAATTATTCAATGGAAATAATTGAATACGCGGAAGTGTAGGAACTTGGAGCTGATAATTAATTAAGATGTAGTTTGAGGGTAAAACTAAAGTCTTCTGATTGCTTTGCATGGGCTTTTACCTGTGACTGAAATGTTTGGTTTATATTCATATTCATTCATTAATCTCAGCAGAGTTTTTAACATGATCCATATGTTTTGGAAATTCCTCGCCTATTGTAAACTTTATATC